GGATTGAACACAAACACATTCTTGATCATATTGTGGTACATAACATGCACTCATCTGGCCGACTGACTCAGCTGTCCCTCATCAATCCAATCATGACACAGCATATCTACTCCAGTCTCCCAGCAACTCACCGCCAGATTGTTTTCTACACCAGTGGTATTGCATCCTCCTGGCTGCTCAGTTCAGTTATCTTGTCTGAGTGTTTTTCTGTACTTTTTGTAACTAGTTTCTCCTTGTGCTTCCAGTGCGATCCCTCAGCCATCGACCACCAGAGCTTCCAGCCAACCTGCCTGCTTCTCCCTTCACCATACCTTCCTGCCTTGTTCTCAATCCAGCCTGAACTGCCTACCTCCACTCCGGACCTCCATAGTCTCCAAACCTGCCTGAGTCTCCGAACAATAAATCATTTAAACATCTTAAGTCATTGCCTGCGCCTGGGTCCTGTTTAAAACGAAATCCTAACACAGTGGGTCACAAACCACACAAACTCAGCCACCTGCCATGGGACACGATAGACCTTTAGATATATTGGGCTAATTTCTGTATTCTGTATTTTGTATATTGCATGTGTTTACAAACTCTTGTTCTTCTCATTCAAAAATGGTAAATATATATATGACAAAGTGATTTGTGTTTATCTTTGTCGCTAAATATACTCAAATATTGAAGCCTTTATGAAACAAAAAAAAAGCACCCCCTTGTCTAAAGGCCTCATTCATAGAGAATTATAACTTGAATATACTGTTAACTTCCTCCAAAATGTGGAAGCTAATGGTTTAGACATTATCTCTGTAGTCCAAAGCTGCAAAGAGAAATACACCTTGCAAAAGCTCTTGATAACGTCAAATTTAGGTCATTTAATCAATTTCTAAATAGCATATTTGACAGTAAAGCAATATTCAATCCCTTACCAAGATATCGTCTGCATTATTATTATTATAATATCTTTTAAACTTTATCTATTTTATTTTTTTGTTTTTGGGTTGACTTGGGAAAGGGGGTAGGGATTTTGTTTTGAAGGTCACCTATTATGCAAGATCCTCTTCTTCATGTCTTGTATACATCACCATGTGTCCCATCAGTGTAAAGAGACTCTGAAAGTTTCAGGAAAAAAAATTCTCTCTCTTTTTGTCCTGATCCATTTATATAAAAACCTGTCTGAAAATGAGCTGATCGCATTTTGGCCACTTTATGATGTCATAACGATTTGTTGGCTTGTGTAACCATTAGCCAACCACCAACCAAGGTAACCCCCCCCCCCCTCCTATAATATATTGATGAAAAACAGTATAATAGGGGACCTTTAAAGACTGTAGGGGGAATCAAGAGCCCTTTGACATTAGTTGATGAAGGTCATAATATGTGTGGAAAAACAAAAATGACATGTTTGTTTAGAAAAAGGGACGCCTCTGGACTTGCTTCAGGGCAGGAGAACTCACACCAAGATGTCGTTTGAAATGCTTTTATTGGTTTAGTGCATATAAAAGTTAGAAAATATCCCAAAACAGATGTGTTTTATTCCTTAAATAGACATTAGGTTGCTAGACTTAATTACAGAGGCTAAGAGGCTAAATTACATCAGCAAATCACTAAATCAACTACTAACGAAGCAATAAATATTCCTCCGGTCTGTTCTGTGGGAGAGAAGGTCAGCAGAAATTATAACATCAATTATGTCAACATTAGGACTAATCTTTTCTCCAAAACAACTTTTCGAATATCTATTTCCTAATTAAGATCGGGATTCTCTAAGGCATAAACAAATGAACGAGTCCCCCTCTGAACCATCGTTGTATAGCCTACTTATGTTCTAATGATGACCTTCATTGGCCGAGGACATCCCAATCAGTCACAATCAATGGCAGCATTATGCAAGAGACAACCAGCTGTAGATAGAAAGATTAGGTGACACACTGTTGTGATTTCTGTGACGTGTTCTGCAGATTTGATCTACATGATTGACAGGAGTTTGTCAACAAATGTTGTTTACACCCTCATGGTGTTACATGACATGAGCGCTTTCTCTTGAGGAAGTATACGTATTCCGACGAAACAGACAGACAGACATAATCAACATTTCAGAACCCATGTGTTACGTAACCATATTTAAACTGACATCTAAATATCCATCTATTCTTAAATTAAGTAAGAGTCAGGTTTCAGCAAAAAAAGAGCAAAAATAGTAGTACTACAAAATGTTTTTTAAAAATGTATAGCATGAGCAAATAAAGAGAAATATAAATAAACAAAAAAGTTTTAGTCATTTAAAGTGAACAGATTTGAAAAGCGGTGGCCTTGAACAGAATTGTGCAAAAATATACAGAGTGATTTTGATTAAAACGAACAAGATGTGCATTAATGTATGCACTAAAACACAATATATTTCCACTGTTATGTATTCATGCACTGCTCTGACCCTAAGATGCACTACACTGTTTAAAGATAGGGTAGGTAAGTTTGAGAAACCGGCTCGAGATACACTTTTTGTTATATTCCATGGAATGCTCTTAACATCCCAATAGCAATGAATATCTTAAGTGCTTTGACAAAAAATCCATAAAAAAATGTCATCTGTGGAAGCCGTAATACTGTAAAAAGTACGACCAATCATTTTAGCCGGCCCGGCTAAAATAACTGGATGGCCTACCTGCCTGTCAGCCTCCCATCGGGGCACAAACTTATCTCGTGCCCTCATTGGTCATGTGCGCGTTCGTGTGTGTTGGAGGAGGGGCTCTATAAGGAAGTGGCAGATTTTCTCCGGTTGTGTATTTTCAAATTCTAGCGATCACGAGCCGGTTTCTCAAACTTACCTACCCCACCTTTAAATATGAAATATCTATATGAAACTGTTTCTTAACCTGATTTACGCTACCTATAAAGATAGTTAAATTTGGACTTAAATAATCACATATCTAATTGATTGTTTTGTGATATTTTGTGTTTTCATTTTATTTCTACAGGTTAACAGTGGCATGTTTGTGATTTTGGCGACACCTGTCTGTATTTCAGTCAGACAACTCACGTGTTTCTTAATATGTTTATTATAAGCAGCATATAGTTTGAGTTTGGCGTCTAGGCTCGGGCCTCATCACTCCACAGATTTACAAAGAACATTGAGTGATGATTAGATAACTTATCCCCCGAGCCTACAGGAGGAAGCTGGGGTGGAAGCTGGGGTGGAAGCTGGGGTGGAAGCTGGGGTGGAAGCTGGGGTGGAAGCTGGGGTGGAAGCTGGGGTGGAAGCTGGGGTGGAAGCTGGGGTGGAAGCTGGGGTGGAAGGAAGCTGGGGCAGGCAAGCAGCAGCAACATGAAACACAGCAGCAGGAACATGAACGCAGCAATAGCAAGTGAACACAGCAGTGGCAGCAGCAGCATAGCGCGAGGCAGAGGCAGGAAGACCTGGCAGCTTAAATAGAGCGGCATGTTTAGGAGAATGTGTTTGGTAGAGGGACCAGGTGCGTCACGTGTTAATGTATCATTGGTGCTCGAGTTGACTGCCTGAACTAGCTCGCAGGCTTCGCCCCATCCATGGTGAAATATAAACTGCACACAGTTCCTTTTGGTCCCACTAAGAGGCAGTGCTGCACTGCTTAACATCTGCAGGACAAAGTCTGTGAAAGGGAAATAAGAGGGAAGTTTGGCACATTGCATCTCTTTCACAGATACAAGTACAACAGTCGTTTGTTGCAGGGAATGTATCATAATTTTAACATACAAACAATTACAGCATCACAACTCCAATTACCAACATTACAAATATATTTGTAAGACTTTTTTGGGAGTGAAAATTGCAAAGGCTTATTGTTCCTTTCCACATCTGTTCTAGCTTGTTGCTCATCTGGACTGTGATTCCCCTGAGAGTAATCTGAGGTGTCATGGTGGAGGGTGAGGTGGTCATCTCTACATGAAGATGGACTGCAGAGAAGGAGAGAGTTGTGACCTTTGGTTGCTGATCCTCCAGCCAACCTGTTAAATATTTATCTTGGATGGCAGAGCTGAGGCTTCTGCTCCTGGAATCCAGCAGGCGTCTGCAGACTAATATCTCCGGACGGAGGGGAAAACATGGGAGTGTGGATCACTGATAAAGCTCCCCGCTTAACGGAAGCTTTACACTTTCTCTTTAGTTACAGAAACACAGCTGAAGTTCTGCTGGGACTGAGGCTTTAAAAAGGAAAGCAGTAGCTACTACTTCTCTTGGCTCTGCTGGAAGGCTTTCCTCATACTGGGTGAGTATGGTGCTGGAAGAAAACATGGAAACAGTGAGACTTTTGAAGTGTGTGTGTGTGTGGGCATGCATCTGTACTCAGAAAAAGCTGTTCTTAAATGTAAAGATGGGCTTTGCAAAGTGACAGGTGAGCAATAAAGCCACCTGGATCTCATGGAAAGCCCTCCAGACTCTTTGTGCCTGATGTGAATGAGGTAAAAACAGTGAATAGATAGTGCTGTTTTGACGTGTGTGTTATTCAGGTCTATTTATTGAGATGACTATGGAAATTGCCTCTTATTCCCTCACACGTGAAACACTGGAGGGAGGTGCCACTGCGCCTGTGCCTGTATGGGAAGCTCTATTATTTCCAGCTGTGGATGGAAACTATTACTGAAGGGCCTTCTCCCTGATGAGCTTTAAAGTGCATGCTTAGACACACACACACACACACACACACACACACACACACACACACACACACACACACACACACACACACACACACACACACACACTCACACTCACACTCACACTCACACTCACACTCACACTCACACACAGAAACTTGGGGACATAAGCCACACACACACTCACACTCACACTCACACTCACACTCACACACACACACAGAAACTTGGGAACATAAGCCACACACACACACACACACACACACACACACACACACACACACACACACACACACACACACACACACAGAAACTTGGGAACATAAGCCACACACACACGCCTACGGACACTCAGTCAAACATTCAGACCCACGCTGAATCATTCACCGAAAGATAAAAGACACCCTGTTGGCCCGAGAAAGAAAGAGGGAGGGAGAGGGAGAGGAGAACAGCAGCGGTCCCTCCTTCCTCTTCATTCACCTCCTCTGCACTGAGGAGACCTCACTGCTCAGCCTGCACTCGCTTGTAAGTATTGCACCACTTATTTTACAACACAGACAACTTTTTCCAGCTTGCCATGAGTTTGATTTTGATGTTTCCATGTATTTTGAATGACTATTGATTTGTAAGGAAGCTGCATCTGGCACAGATTTGAGCATCATGTTGTCATCATTCAGGTCATCATTTGAAACCTCTGAGACAAACAAGATAAGGGCTGTTTGTTATCTGTGCTGTCATTGTTATTGCTGTTTATTTTTTAATTTTCAGGACGTTGTTATCAAAAGTCAAAAGTCAAAGTCAGCTTTATTGTCAAAAATTCTACATGTGTTATACATCCAGAAATATCGAAATATCGTTTCCCGCAGTCCTACAGTGTGACATGTATACATAAAACAAAACAAAAAGGGCCTAGATAAACGGGGTATACATTTAAACAAAACAAGAGCCTAGATAACCGGGGTATACAGTTTAAAATATCAATAATATATTGAAAGTGTTCAAAGTACAGTTTCAGTGCAGTAGCCACGGAGATGGGCAGAAAAGTGACTGGTGCTGGATGAGGGAAAGGTGTTATGTAACAGTTGTGGATTTACTTGTCAGACTTTACTGTGTCAGATGCCAATCTTTTACTTCAAAATCTGCTTCATGTTGTGGCTTTAGAGGTTTGAATGTTTTCCAGTAAGAAATGCACTTTTTATCACCAAACTTTTCTAAATAAGAACAGCAGTTACCATGAGGATTTATGACTATATCAGGCATTGTTAGCTGACGTTGTGACCTAAAGTCCCCATGCAAGGCTCAGACCAAAAAATGTTGTATACCGCTAAAATAAACCATGATTCTTGTGTTTGTTCCCAGAAACATTCCTAAAGTGCTACCTCAACCTGTGGTATGAATGACACTGTATGACGTCCAGACCTACTTATCTGTCTTCATGGTTATGGTGTTGTTTGTTTAAAAGTCGGCTCATCCATCTCCAGCTTCATTTAATCCTGTCTTTATCTTCTGATTTCTACAGACTTGTTTTCTCACAGCAAAGGAAAAAAGCCTCGGGGCTATACTGTAGTTGCCAAATGATGTAGCTTTTGGGTAACAGATTTATGTCATGGTTAATTCACTCGCAGGAATCTTTTTAATGAGCTCCTCTTGTAAAATACTGGCACATACCACTCAGTGTGAACGGACAGTGTTTGCCATACATCATACCTCTCCTGTTCTGACAATGTGTCTCTGTTTGTTTAGTGAAGAGACAGACAAAGCGAACAAGGATCTAGTGTGTGGAGAGGTGTCAGGGTCCAGGCCAAAGTTTCAATCTCCTCTTGCGTGATTACCTAATTTAGCTGCAGAGTGACAGGGTGTCAGATGTGGTCACAGCGGGGTGAAAGTCTGCTCCTGCGGGACACAGATTATCAGGGGAGCCTCATAACCTGCACTTCCCAGCGTGGCCCTCAGGTTCAGCGGCTCAACTGTTGGCAAAAACAACCCTGTCAGGAGAGCGGGCTGTAAATGGATATCTGCCCCGAGTTACGCTCCACCAAGCCAGACCACTGAATTATTCAAAAAGAGCTGAGTCCTTACATTTCAAGCTTTAATAGCACATATTCAGACATAGCCTACTCCATGTCCTGTCATTTTATAACTGCAACCCAAAGTGCATGAGTATAACAGCTGATTGCATTTGTTAGCATGTGACGGCTCACCTTGTACGTGCTGGTGATTCAGCACCAAAACAAGCCTGTCAGCACTTTAGATTTCAGGTTTTTGTCTGTATTGGCCAGCAATGCAGGCTAACTTGAAATCCTGGTTTTATTTGGGCCAGTATTATGTGCAAGAGGAGGATTAGAGACATGAGCTCCATCTCTCTTTGACTGCTTTTGGCATGCTGCTAGAATTTGAATGCTGACTGACGTATCTGTGCAGATACAGTACTGCATCTCCTGATTTGAATAGTTTGAACATCCTTCAGTCTCTGCTATAATTCCTTTAACAGTATTGCTTGTGTTTGTGTGAGAAAAGTCAGCAGGACTCAGCAGTGTACTATGTGGTCTGGAGTTATGACTCTGAAACACTTTCAGAGCTACTGGAACAGAAAGAGCTCCTATTCTCTACTTGTAGCCTTCACATAAACACACACACACAAAAGCAAAAAGGAGGAGAGATTAAGTCATGAGGGGGTGTCATGGAGTCATTGGGCAGTGTCTGGGCGGTGGAGGTGATTAACTATTTGCATTCCCCTTTGGTTAACCCTGTGAAATATCACCTCATCACAACAATAGGGCTGCTTCACCCCCGAACTGACAAGGCAAGAGCAGAGGGTGCTTTTTCAACGAGGGCCGAAAGTGGGTTGCTATGGCAATGCTTGTCAACCGGGAAGTCCTGCACGGAGGAAGGCAGGGCGGAGAGTAAGAGAGAGAGAAAGAGAAAGGGAGAGATTGTGTGTCCTGAAGAGTCTCAGTTAGAGAGCAGCGTGGGTTACGAGCAACACTGACAGAAAGAGGTGTGAGTTCACTTGTTGGAGCCACTTTAAGGTGAGTACACTTGGTATGTTTAAATATTACGGCGTGATCTTAAACATTGACACTGTAGAAACTAATTTGTCGTCAGCTTGTGGGTTTTTGTCTGAGTAAATGTTGAGTAACCTGTCTGACGGCTCAGGGCTGCTCCACAGGATTAGTGCTGTCCTGAAAACAAGTTGACCCATGTTTTGATGTTGAAATCTGTGCACGTGGAGGCAAGATCTTGTGTGAGTTACATAGTGAGAGAGGGCACTGAGGGCACCTTGTTTCCTAACATGTGATCCCTGCGCCCGCACCTGCCTGCAGAGCCTCTGAGAGTCTGACTTTATTTTCCCATCCTGCTGCAGGTTTCAACGCTAATGGCCTGAAATCAGGACCATCCAGTCATCACTGGTGGCTCCCCTTACTGTCAGGGTGATTTCCACAGCCGGCTCTGATTCCCTTTGTAATATTACTGAGGGTCCAGCTGCCAGACCTCATATCCACAGGCTGCACTCAGCTTTGAAGATGCAAAATGACAGGCATGAGGATTTGTGAGATTTTTAGTGATTTGAGTTTGTATTTTCTCATGCTCTGTCTGACACATTGCATTATGGTTTTACTCTAACAGATCCACCCTAATAAGGACTGATCCTGGATGATTAGAAGTGTGTTTGTTGTAAAGACAGGTTTGATAAACTTCAGCTCAGCGTTGGGTTATTCTCCCAGAGAGAGGCTTTGATTTATTCTCCTCCTGGGAACACATTGCCTCTCCATTGACAAGAAACACTGACTCCTCCTGTTGCTCTGACTGGAGGAGCACCATACAAGGAGGTGACATACTTCCCTACTGATAAATGTGTGTATCCCCCCAATAACTGCATATCATAAACTAACAGCTCCAGAACCTTGTATGGGCCGCACATCTGCTTCGCTCGCAGGGCAGCATGGTTGCGTGATCAAACCTCACAGGACCTCTAACGTCTCTCACATAACTACAGAGTGACTCATTTAATTTGTTGAGAAATAAATACCCCCTGTATTTATTCAGCAAATGTGCTTGTGATTACCTTCTTACCACTTATTAAGGCAGGATTTATTCTTGTTTTATGACCCTGTTACGCAACTTTTAAGGCTACGGTGATAATTTGTCTGTGCAAATGCTTAAAAAGACTTTAACCTTCAGTCTGTCGTGTTGTTCAATCAGGAAATACACACTTTATCAGAAGATCAGACTGTGTATATGTTTTTTGAAGATTGTAGAAAAGTGTTTAATGTCAAATGCAATGCAGGTCAGTGCTCTCCCAAACAACATGACCACCTTATGCAAATATTGAGCTTGTATTTTGGCCCGTGTCCTCCATTTAGATCCGTTCTTCTGCAGTATTTCCCACCTTATAAAGTCAATCATTAACTCAGCACTTCTCCTCACCCTCCACACGGAAGCAGAGAACAACACTTGTGCTGATAAATGGAGATGTGACAGTTTTATTTGGTTTATTTAAGTCTCAGGACTCTCTGTCATTGTCCCAGCTCATTACTGACACATTCTCCGAGGGCACTGATGATGTATGGACATCATGATTCTCCCTATGACCGCAAATCACTACTTTACTAATAGTGCACCAACAAATCACAAAAGGGTCAACAGTGTGTCAGGTTTTCATGAGGGTGTGTGTGGTCACCTTGGCAGCCCTGTTCTTAGAGAGAACAATGCGAGGAGCTCTGCATGTGGAGGAGAATGAGGTCATCGTAGGTCAGGGGCTTCTCAATAAGACCCAGTCACATCATCCTAAGGAAGGAAAAACAGACTTTTGATGAGTAATGAGAGTTGAGAAATAGTGACCTCATAGCTAGCTCACTTGCTATCACCGTAGAGTGAATGGGTTTGTCTTTTCTCACATTTTTAAGGTTTGCAAATTTGCTGTTTCCATTGCATTCAGGTTTTGTTGCTATTCCGGTCCATGGAAACCTCCCTTTGTGATTCAGAGGAATCACAGGGGTGTGGTGAAGTTCACTGACCTTTCAGCTGCTGAGTAGGGCTGCTCTGGCTCAGCAACTTCAGATAATAGTCTGGTTCCTCATCCGCTCCTTTGGGTCAGAAAAGGATACGAAGGATACTTGTGCTTCACTAACTAAACTTCTTTTTTTTTTTTTTAAAGTTTATCACAATACAATTTTTGGATTTCATGACGGAGCTGTTAGAATTCTGTTTCTTGAATCAGCTTAACATCCGGCCCTGTGCTTCTTTCGAGACCGGATGTGTTACCCTGGGGACAGATGCAGATATTTTCATACTTAAATCCCCTGATTCTCTCTTTGGATGTCCTCAGTTACCCTGTGAGGGACTAACTTTACTTTAGGGACCATTTACTTGTTCACTTACAACATTTAGCTTATTGTATTTTCTCTGACATGTATATCGTTTAGTTCATCTCCATTACTTATTCTACTCTGTTTCTACTTGCACTATTTTATTGTTTTTTAAATTAGTTTGATTGTTTTAGGTCTTATATATATTATGTTTCATTGTTGGAGGAGCCTGGGACTTAAGGTTTTCATTGCCATAACTACACTGTAGCTACTGTGCATATGACAACAAAGCCGTTGAAATGCAAACATGGCTAGAATGCATCATCAGATTCACTGCAGTAAGATGGAAATATAAAACGCAAGGCATCATCTCATCCTCTGCTCAGGCCTTTTATGGCTCCTTCCATCCTAAACTGATCCTGTGGTGATAATGAACCTCTCACCTAGCAGGGGTTTAACTAATACGTCGGGCTATAAAGTTCATACATTTCAAACAGATAGCATCAGCACTCTCACACAGTTTGTGAAGCCCTGTCTCCATGCGAAAGCTTAGCAACCTCCGCTGTTGAGTCTCGGTAATTACGTAAAAATGCACTGGGCGTCCGGAGCCACCCCAGGGAGAGCCAGACTTCTGGACAGGGATTTTCTTGCTAGATATCAACACTGATTTGTCCTTATTAGGTAGGATCCTGTTTGGTGCTCTTGAAGGGGGAATGCATGCACCACTGAGACATAGAGCAATGTTATGACATGAGTTTACATCAGGATGCGACATCGATGAAACATTTCTGGCTGCTGAGTGGAGGGAGTTCCATGTCAATGTTTAAAAAATATGTTTAAAGAGTGCTCCATGAGTCTAGAAAATATTAAGACACATATCAGACGAGGCATGTGGCGCAGTGGATAGAGCCTTGGTGTTGGCATTAGAGGGTCACAGGTTCAAACCCCACTGCAGTCAGCATGTCGTTGTGTCCCTGGGCAAGACACTTCACCCCAAAATTGCTCCTGTGGGGATTGCCCACAGTATTGAGTATGTAAGTCGCTTTGGATAAAAGCGTCTAACAAGTAACATGTAATATCAGTTGTTCTTTACGTAACACACACGATCAACTCAGTCCCTCTGGGAAATAAAAAACAGGGGTTTCAGCAGTTGCCAGATTTTTGGTGTCACAGAGTTGCTTTCACTGCAGGCATTCCTTTCAATACATGTAATAAATTGCAGTGTGTATCAAAAGGGAATTTCCTCAATTTTACACTTATTGAATTATACCCAGTAGGAATATTTGGCCTCAGAGAACAATTGTCAATTTTCTTCTATTGCTTCTGGAGAGAGCTTTCTAAAGTAAAAGTAAAAAAAGGGTCAGAGTCATGCCTTTTATCTTGGCTTGTTCCTGAAACTTGAAATGGTTAACAGAAGGCAGAACATATAGGAGTTGAGAAAGTAAGCTATTAGGTTGCATTTTAGGATTGGACATAGGGACTAAAAGTCAGAACATCTTCTTCACCGCTGCTTCAAAATGGACCAGAATAGTCTGCAATTAAAATGGAAACTGAGCAATCTGGTGCCACTAAATGTTTTTAAAGCTCGGTTGGATGCTACTGAATCGGAAGCTGTTGGTACCTGTGCATGTGGATAGTTATGTAAATTGTAATCCCTGTAATGCTACTGTATGATGTCCTTTTGTTGTTCTGTTATGTTTTTAATGTTTCATGTGGAACCTACTTGAGCAGGTCTCCCTTGAAAAAGAGATCAATGATCTCAATGGGATACAACCTGGATAAATAAAGGTTTGAAATGAAATGAAACCATTTCTCATTGTGTTGCCTGTGATTCCCTACATGTTATAAAAGTCCCATTATATGTTGGATTGCACCTTTTAAAATATACATTTTATTAATATCATTTTTCATATGTTTTCGAGTTACCAATCCTAGTTTGAAATGAATGGGTGTGAAAAAAGCTGCTATATTTAAAAAGAAGGAACTCCTTTGTTTGCTCTTCAGAATTCCTGTTTTAAAGAGGCCTGTGTGGAGACACACTCATAAAAAGAAGTCAAATAGTTCCACGTCTAGGTTTTTGTTCATTAATGCGATGGGGCCTTTTAAGTGAATACCAACCTCCTGAGGAGATATCCGGACTTAATAAGAACCAGCAGGTAATACACATTGTAAATGAGATTACATTAAGCCATCATTTGTTAATGTGGCTTATTTGCAATGTAGTCTATTGTCAGATGGATAATCAGCAGGCTGTGATTGCTGTGGGCGATGATAGGTCATCTGTCAAGCCTGAGCAGTAATGGTATTGTAGCAGGCACAATCCTCCGGTCCCCATATTTCTCCCGTTATGTAAGGCAGTTTATTAGGAGATGATGAATCACATGGAGTGACATCTTTGTCTGGAAAGAGGAGGATTGATTCTATCAGTGCATGCTCTCTGTGCTGTGTCCTACCCCTGTGCACAGAGACACAGTTCATATAGGCTTCTTGGAATTGGCCACAATAATTATAGACCCTAATGCACAGTTGCAAATGCCACATGGAGAACTCATTAGTGCAAATTGGGTTGGGCAGCTCTCAGCATGTAGTACTAGTAGCCACACTTGATCATTAGCTTCTTGCCAAGCTACATAACCATAGCTTGCACCATAATACTGATACTGTTTCATTACAATCTGTTGTTTTTCTCCCAAGATAAGATATGTTATATCCACACATTGCACAAAGACTTAACCACTTAACCTTGGTTTTACAGTGCAGGGTTACAGGGGCTGAATGGCATTTGTGGTTTCTATGCCTGCAAAGTTATTATTGGCCATTTAGCCACTGTAGATGAGAGGTGCACACAGGAGCGGAAATGGCCTCCCCCTCATCCTCCCCGTGCCTTTGAAGTTGAAACAGCAGCCCCTAATCTGTTTTCTGGGGTGCAATTGATTAGGAGCTTCACTTTCAGTAGCAGACCCTCTCCATCATCCAGTCCAGCTTATTATGGCATTGTATGAGTGGGAAAGTGAAGCAGGCTTGTGAGTCACACTCGTTTTTTGGGTGGGTTTTTCCTTAGTACCAGGGGAAAGTGACGCCAACTTTCCGTCTTCTGAATACTGGTGGGCTGGGATAATGGAACAGTTGTGTCTGGATACAACATGTGATTTATGACTGAGACGCTTTGTGGAAACCCACACAATAATGACTCAACGGGTTAAAAAAAGGGCATGCTGAAAGATTCAGATTAAATATGTAAGATATACATTGGACATCTGCAAAGACAATGTAACCGATCTACAACTCTCATTCAACAATGCCCTTATCTACACACAATTAAACAAAGAGGTTCACATAAAACTGTATTTATGTCTGTGCTCTCCTCTTTAAGACTGTGTGATAATATGACGTGTCTGTATTTCCATGAAACATCAGGATAGAGAAACATTTGAAAATGTGGTGACCGATTGTTACAAGATTCAAAACAGATTACTTTTGTTTAAATCTAAATAAATGTAAAATCTGCCACAAAGAAAAACAAAAACCTTATCATCATGTTCGGACAATACTCTTATCTTAAAGGGGTTGTACATTTCCCTTTTTATAAAACACAGTTTATTTTCATGATGATTATTGCAACTCCTCTAGAAACTTTGTACAATTGAAAAGAAAAAAGTGTAAGTTCATATATAAATAGTGTGGATTTTCTCATGTCTTTGCAGATTCTTTTGATGCTGGGCACAAGCATTTCATCTCTGTCACACAAGGACCAAAACTGATCACATGCAGTCTCAGGTAATACTCATTAATTACTCTAAATGTTGACTTTCCCATTATCGCATATTACACATCCCATATCAATTAAACAAATCCCATTGTCTTGAATAGGCACATTTAACCCCTCAATATCCAGGAGAACCACTCATGAGTGTCACAAAGGTTAGCCCAGGGTCAACACAACATGCCTTTAATGCAGATAGCGGTTCTCCACGAGGCTCAGAGGCTTTCCCATGACCCCTGGGAGGACCACGGCACCTGATTCAAATACATAACGTGACAATAGGAGAGCTAGACTGGCCATCATGGACGGGGGGAGTAAAAAGATCACTATGGAGACCGCTGCTTGCACGGCTGGACTTTGAGGTTGACATCGGCGGCCCCCTTCCCAACCTCCCTGCCCCCTGGCCTGCTGAATAGGGAGTTAATGGGCTCATAATGGTCCTCTCCTGTTTCAGTGCCCCCGCTCTGCACCTTGAATGAGGCCTTTCTGCAGTTGTGGCTAGAGAGATGATGAAGTGGGTGGAACACCACTTCCCACTGGTCCTGCTTTAAATAAATTAGGGGCCTTTTCATCAGAGGGTCCCCCGCTGAGGCCAGTTTTTCTCTGGAGAATAGCCGGGCCGCTAACAAGTTCACATGACCTCCCGTAGAGAGCGGTGTTTACCCCGGCCGACAGGAGCACATGACAGGAGCAGAGTTCACACATTGTTTTTGGTCATCCATATTTCTAATTTCCTCTGTTTAGCAACGTGTGGAGGTGGTCGGTGATCCAAATGGCTCCCGGGTCATCTTCTCCGGGGAGGATGGAGTTTCCTCAGGCCAGCAGATCCTGACTTCTCCAGTGATGACCCATGAGGTGGTGGTCATCTCCCCTGGGCTCCCCACGCCTCCTCTGAGCCCTTTCCGCTCTATGGGGTTGTCATCTGGGGAGTTTAAGGTATGCACAGAAGTTTCCTGGAGGCTGTATTTAGTAACAATGGTTAGAGGTTGAGTGCATGAAGTGCTCCTCCCTGTGGAAAACTGATGCATGACAGCCATGGATATGTTTGGAAACCATTATTAAATGTCTTTCATTCTGCTCATCTCAAGGTGTCAGAAGTGAATGGAAATGGACCAACAAATCTCAGCTTTGGATCTTATTATGGTCCAAACCAAGGGCAAGGTGAGGTACAGTTTTTATAATCTGTGAATAACAAAAGTCAATTAAAGCGCCAAGGAAATACATTTTTATTTTAAATATTACAATATTTTAAATGTGTTAAGACTTCAACTAGTTGAATTGAATGATGTCTTCATGTAAACATGAGGCTGGAAACATTAACTTTTGATACAATGTTTGAAGAAAATGTTATTCTAATGGCTCCTGAAAATGTAAATGTGGAAAGAGCAAGACATTTCGATTTGAATGCATAATCTGAAGGAAATGTTGATGAAGTGTCAAAGCAGGGAAATTAAATGGTGTGAGGAGTAGAAGATTGTCGAGTAGAAGAACAGTGAAAGGAGTTTAATATTTAAGTGTCATTTGATTTGTTGTCCTGAAATGGATTTAAGTAACGTGTTGAAGAAACAGCTCATGTGTAAGCCCCAGAAGCAGTTTCAGTAAATTGTGTATAAACTGTGAAAGCTTAGCCAATTTTTTCTACGGTCAAAGGTGGTGACCTGAGACCTGAAAGGATTTGACGGTCAGTCACAGCGTATTCATTTAAAAGTGTTTAAAAAGAAGAGGTGTATTTAAAAATATCAGTTTACAAGTAACCACTTAAGAAACTTGTAGAGTAAGAGATTAAAACTGTCAAAGAGTAAACGACATGCAGTTAAAGTTTCAGAGGAAGTGTAAGAGGTACGCAATAATGTGGACTGCTTTTGTGTGATGTGTAAGAGTTTGAAAGTAGACTCATGGCTGTTTAACACACCTACATTCATCTGAAATGTATAAAAAAGGGACAAAATATACTTATCTAAATGTGGTTTTGCAATATGATTCAGATGGACTGTCCAATGGCGTTCAAGGCCACACCACTTTACCACGCAGCTGGACTCCCACCAGAGAGGAGAGGCTTATCAAGTTCTCAGGAATTGGTCCAGTAGATGAAACTGGGATGCCCATTGCCTCCAGATCAGTAAGAACAAAAATACATAATGTACTGTTTGGTTATCAAATATGTGTTCTAATACTTTTATTATTTTTCTGCCTACATTCTCAACAAACTGCGTCTAAAAAAACTGTACATTTATGTTGATTTGACAGGTTTATGTTCTTGCTTCATCCATTGTTGCTGTTTTTCTCTAGCTCTAATTCCCCAGATGTGTTTACCTTCTGCACTCTACCTTTTTTTCTCAAACCAGAGTGTGAACAAGCCCAGAGACTGGTACAAGAGCATGTTCAGACAGATTCACAAGAAGCCAGAGGGTAAGGACGCTCAAACACAACACCACAGTGAATTCCTCTCTGTCAGTGTCAGGTATTATGGAGGGGATCCAGCAGACAAGCAGATTATTGGAGAGGCAAAATAAGACATGATCAAAGAGCACAAAAGTCTTATGTCATCTCTGTGTTTTGGCTGTGATAATAATCCAGTCACTTATCTAAACCCCTCCCAGGCTGTTCATTTGTCTCTACAATGTGTTGCGTAATAGAGACACATTCCCTGTTATTTGTGTGGTTAATGGCACCACATTGCATACAGCACTGAGGTGGTTTGAGCCACTCTGGATTAGTTTTGTTTCAGCAGAAAATGTTAAGCTCTTTGCAAGTGATTTCTGTTTTGGACACAATATTGGATTCCAAATGAGGGCTTCTGCATCTCACTGAGGTGCTACCGATGATGTCTGGTAGAGCAAAGACATTCATTTCACAGATATTTTAGTTACTTTTTATGTAGGCCTACAACAAATATGATCAACTTTTAATCATGGGGAAATCAGACAGTAGATTCAAGATTAAAAAGCTGCTTAAACAATAGTATACCAGTAAAATATCTAATCATGTAATATTGATATTATACAACACTTTGAAAGGCGTCATTCTGCATAATCAGTAACCTACTTTGTAACCAAGTACATTTTGTAAAACTTAAATGACTGTATTCATAATACTTTCACTAACATCATAATATACCACTTTTCACAATATCTAATATACTACACAATGGTTTAAAATGTAGGTCTTACTATAAGACAAATCAATTGGTATTGAATGTGAGTAAATGGAAAATAATGACATGTATTGATGATTTTTCTTACAAAGTAGCCTACTTCAGTGTTTGAGTCTAAAAAAAAGTCTCTCTGTTGTACTTTTAGAACCTGAGATGGAAGATTCAGACCGATGGTCATCTGAACGTAAGTGAATCCACCAAAGTCCACATTGTTATCCTGCAAAGTTACACAACCACTTGTTTCTTACTTAAGACTGATCTTCTCTGATCACATGATCTGCAGGAATCCAGTTATCTGCCAACATCACAGAAGAAAGTAATGAAGCAGACAAGAATCTCTTCAGGCTAACACCTTATGGAGCCCTACCAGACTGGTGAGTTTACACTGGTTTGATGTGACTGCTTCAGGGTCACAGGGGGGATATTGCAGGGGTTCTGAAACTTTTGAAGTCCACTTAAAATGGTTAAAACATGTAATCTAAATTATGTGTTATGCCACTGTCAGCTGCCTCTAACTGGTTGAGGATAGCTAGTTTAGCATATCCCAGCATGCACTGGAGAGAAAACAGGCAAGCTGCCAGTGTGTGTTCATATGGCATATTTAAGACAAATGAACAACCTCTCACTTTAACACCTGTGGGCAATTTAATAACGTTTATTTAATGAAAGTAAACCTGAGATGCTTTCAAACAGAGAGATAGATGGATCAGAAGATTGATACCACTCTTTACTCTATCTAACTCTGTCTAAATACAGTTACTGCCAGCAGCTAGTTAGCCTAGCTTAGCACAAAGACTGAAACCATGAAGGAACAGCTAGTCTACCTTTGTGCAGTTATTTCTTGGAGTATCCTCTGGCCGCCTTTGTGTGATGAAATAAATTAAACTAATTAGATATATAACATTTTTATTTGTGTGTATAAGCTTTTCTAGTTGGTGCTTGTTCAGACAGGCTAGCTTACTAGATAACTGTCTCTCTGCTAGCTTCATATTTACTGTACACTAATGGAGTACACTTAGAGTGGTATCCATATTTTCATTTAACTCTCAAGAGTGACTAAGCATATTAACCAATATGTCAAACTACTTCTTAAAGCTCTTACTGAAGGTTAGCAATGTACCTTTGTTCAGACCTCAGACCAATACAGCTTGGGTTGAAAAAACCAAACATATTCTATAGGGTTAAACCTAATTCTGGAGATAAAACCAAAGTTATTTTGCACGCACGCTGTTAGATACAAGAATTTAGAAAATGTGCATATTTACCTACTGAAGTAGAGGATATTTAACAGTATGCTTTACAGTATGTGCTGCTGTTTTTGAATTCTTTTCAACTATGCATTAGATTACACATCAAAATGAATGCATTCCTCACATCAGATAAAGTCTTATGTGAATACCAACCCAAATTCAGACCAATAGCAGTGGGGGGAAAACGTGTGGGACAGACATGTTGGGATTTGTTTTTACAGGCATTCACAATGAAGCCGGGATTTACTTGCTGTGTGTGTGTGTGTGTGTGTGTGTGTGTGTGTGTGTGTGTGTGTGTGTGTGTGTGTGTGTTGGGGTGTTATGTTTCAGGAGCGAGGATGTAGATAAGCTGTCAGACCCGGGAAAGCAGCCCCCTAAACCGAGGAGCATATTTGACTTCGAGCCTGGAAAGAGCAGCAACTCGGAAAGCCAAAACCAGGTAACAACCTCACATGCTTTCATCGTTTAAAAATAGGCTCTGATATGAATCTAGTAGAAAACTCCATTAGATAGATGGATGGATAAATGTATCTAGCATTGTTGTTGGCTCTAATGGTTTTGAATTCTTTGTTTAGTCTTAAACTGATTTCCCAGTGGGGAGGATAAGGAACAGGTTTCAGGATGGGCACCTTTTCTTTAAGGATTAGTCCTCATATTTCATCTTCTCACGCGAGGGAACTTGTGAATGTGGTAATTTCACAGCGTTACTGCCACTTTCAACCAGATGTTCTCACTTTCTTTGATTCTGAGGATTAAACATTTATTCATGTAGCTTTCCAGACAAGAAAAGCCATGATCTAAGTGTTTATGTCTGTGTTCCTCAGGTATTGTGCTGAAAGTCAGTGATCTAAGAGCTGCTGAAGCTGACACTTTGACTCATATTTATTTACCCCTGGGATTGTAATTTATTGTCTTGTGTATTCTCCAGCGTCCAAGAGCTTTTGTAATTGAGTGTGCAGCCGTTTTTTTTTATCACCGTGGTGAGTTACAGAGCGGTGTTTCTATGGTAGTTTTTTTTTTAATGGCTCTTGCAACAATGTCCCAGATCTGGTGCATATTGTGCCCAGTGGCCACGCTTGTAAAAGAAAAGGAATCTTTGTTTCTACTCCCCCATGGGAGCGGAGGTGTCTTGTGATCCGCATTATGGTGTTAACCTCTTGTGGTGTATAATGCCTCACAGCATGGAGACTTATTTCATTTCCTCTTTATGACAGCGGCCTATGTTCGATCCCCTGGACGGCGTTTAGCAAACCAGCGCTCAGACCATATCAGGTGTTGTGCTGCTTCACACTGACATTACAGTCTGTGCATGTAGTGAGGATGGCTCCAGCTGAGGGGAAGGCCTTGGCATTCACATGGATACCTTCAGCCAAGGTTTTCACAAAAAAAACCCTGGAAATGGAGCAAGGGGTTCCTGGTTCTCTCCAACAGAGCCTTTTAAAGTAATATTTGATAGAATCAGCTGTTCTCTTTGTAAAGACAGATTGAGAGCGGGATATTTGAGCATTTAACCTCTTACAATCCAGCTACTGCATTGTCCAGATTACAGTCTAGTTGTCTTGAATTCTTCCATTAAAAGAGATGTGCTGATTTTCTCTTTGGGCAAACTCTTTTATGGGAAAGACCGCTCAGTTCCAAATATTTTCTTGACTCCAAAACACATTGTCAGAATAGTAGTGAAAGGGTTTTCTCATGGCTGGATACAATTCATAATGGGCTCCAGGACAAACATGTGTTGTGGCTCCCTATTGAGACCCCATCCTACTGTTCATTGCAGTTACATTTTTCCCAAATCAAACCAATACTCCTTTCTGGAATAATATAACCTGACCCCAGGCTTTCTATGTAAAGTACATAAAAGCAATTTGATGAAACGCAACATTATTCATGAACATGGACCCGCAGCAAAGTCCTAAAACTAGATTTTACCCACATGTTTTTGGATGAAAGAATAACTTCTGTTTAATGTCGCTTTCTGCTTTCGTTAGGTTCATACATCCCAGAAGAAACAACCTGAGACACCGAATCCCCCTTCAGTTGAGGTGAGCTTCTTTGACAACATTTTAATTCCTGCATTCACGTTCTATCTTTGTACCACCACAAAAAGGGACACCATTAGCTCCATGTTGTTTTAGTATTCTGTATTTTAATGTTGCCATTCCAACTCCATGGCTGCGTGGCTCAGGCCAGCCTGGTCTCTGAGCTGAGCCGCTTTGAGGCTGAGCTGGACTCGGAGATCCAGGGCCTGGAGAGGAGACTTTCCCAGAAGAAGCTGCGTCGAGGCCGGGGTGAGGTACTGAGCCCCCCTCCTGACTCTCTCTGCAGAAGCATCCCTCCCTCCAAATCTAGCAGAATCCTCACCTACCCTCACCCCCCCCCCAATTAAGGCTGCGAGACTCAGCGTCCCTCCCTGCTTTCTAGCTTGCTAGCCCTGTGTGTTGTTCCTCCTCCTGGATGACAGCCCTGGAATCACCTGCCTGTCTTGCTGTTGGATTGATGTGCTGTGTTAATCACCTGCCTGCAAATTTGGCTGCCAAAAAAATGAAGACATTTTGCAATCAATTACCTTTAGATTCTTCCCGCAATGCTTGTTTTAGAGAGTGATCTGGATGCAACCCTGCCAAGAATGTTTTTTGATTTTCAAGCTGTTCCTGATTCTTGTGTGATTACGTTTGCTTTATAGGCTGCGATTTGATTGAAATCACTGGCAGCTCAGACAGATCATGAATGGTGATGTTTTTTAGGCTGTGGAGGATAGGACCCAGGGGATTTCTTGCTCCTTTGGGAGTGGTCAGCACCTCTACTTTGTCTGAGTTGTTGTGAGATTTCCTCTGAGCTGTGAGATACAGCGGGCTGCAAGGGAACAAAGTTAACTTAATGTTCACTCTGCTTTCAGGAGGCCAGAGGCAAAGAGCCGGTAACCGAACCAAAGACTGGGACTACAAACTACAGGTCAGTGACAACATAACTTAAGAAAACAACATAAATATGATTACTTAAAGAGACATTCAGAAAGGTAAAATAGTATGTAAACTAACATGTTTATCATTTAAAACTGCATTGTCCACAAAAGGTTCCACTTAAAGACTAAATAAAGGAGTTTTTTAATGCACATTAGTATCATTTGTCACTAGTTAACAGTTGTCAGTTTCATTTCTATACACCAAAGTGTAGAGTTGTTCTTACACACACCATTAGACTGTTCACAGTAGATTCAGGGCTTTCAGTGTTTCAAGTGTTTCTTGGCATAGTTTTACCTTTACTTAGTTTTGTACAAAGCCATGGCATTCCTGTATTTTTCTGTTTCTGTTATGCAAATTCCTCACAAACAAGTGGATATTAGACATTTGTAATCTCACTTGATAGATTGCACACAGTTTTAGTGATGACTAAATGTAAATATTGATGGTTTAGTAGGTTTTAAAGTGATGTTGCATATCATAATAGACACACATGCAGGACAGGTCAATGTTAAGGCCTTAGTCAACACTGAACAACAGACCTCCTCTGAGCCCAACAGACCTCCTCTGAGCCCAACACCCTCTTAATGCACTTTGACATTGTTTCCCTGAGTGGGAGTAACTGCCCGTTGCTTCCTGCTGTTTTAAGAAACAAATACCTGCAGTTAGCACAACCATTTATTCTTTGTACATGTCCAGTTAGTTGATCAGGTGAATCTCTGTCCTGGATTCTGTTAGGAAGCTGTTGAATGTTAACAAGTTCACGTACAGTATTTGTTACTTCAAACAGCAGGCTGCATTCCACATTTCTCTCCATGTGCGTAATGCTCTCCTGGAGGATTCTCGCTGTTGTTTGCTAAGTTGAGTTCATGGGTTCTGACCTTTCCTGGTTTGGTTGGATAAGGTTTTTTTTTTGTCCAACACCCAGTTGCTAAGGACATGTTATGTAGCTCATGGTGCCCAGCTGCAAATACTGGAATACAAAACAGTACTGTCTGGAAATATGTAAATGCATTCAGAGGCATCCAGGCAGGAAGCTTTGGGTTATGGATTTAATTGTTAACCCAGAAACAAAAAAGACACATCATTCTGATCATGAATGCAGTTGTGGGGGCTGTAAATGTGATTTAAACCCCAAACTTAATCTTAAACAGATTTGTATTTTAACGATGACAACATGAGGCACATAGTGTCGTCTGCTTGGCCTTCTAGCTGTCTGATTATTTGTCTCATCTCTGTCCAGTGTATGAAATCTAGCAGCTGCAGCCAGATGTGTTGTACAGTAATTCTGCCGCACACACACACACACACACACACACACACACACACACACACACACACACACACACACACACACACACACACACACACACACACACACACACACACACACACACACACACACACACACACACGTTCTCCCTGTAACATGAGGCTATTTCCGTTTGTGTGTGTGTTTGAATGTACTTTGATGTTATTAGACACCCCCCCCCTGATTGGGAGACACATTGGCAGTAAAACAAACATAGAGATCATATTTTCTTCCTTTTTTCCAGCAATTCATCAGCAGCGAAGCAGCCTGTCCATCGCTCTGTTGGCTCATCATTGACCTCTTCCCCCACACATGGTAAACATGGATTTTCTTCTCTTTTGGGCTCAACACACAAATGCACACTATGATTTTCCCACCAACTTTCTTTAAACTGTCCATACAGTAAGTTGATCATCTTCTGTTTTTCCCCTTCGTTGATCTCACTTGAACCCACCCGTGTACAGGCTGCTTATTTAATCAGGCATATATTTGATGTAGGGTTTTCGTAATCTAATATATTTTTAAGGTCCCATGATTCTCTTTAATTGCCACTGTTGTCTTCTGCTCTGGTATTTGGCATTTCAGATGAGGCTGATGTGTGCATAGAAAAGCTTTTGCAGTTTTTTCCTTTAGAAACCGAAGGTGTAGATGGGTGGGGAGGAAGCCCGCGAAAATAGGAAGTGGAACTCGGAAGACCTGATTTAAGATTAGCTTTAAACAATTGTTTTTTTCTGGAAATGAGTCCTGATGGGGCCAGCCTGAACAATTTCAAGGATCCTTTTTTGAAAACCTATGCAGCTGTTAGGGCTTTTCATAGCAACACATCCAAAAACAACATTTGCTGAACAAAAGAGTGCCATTTAAGACTCCGTTAACACCGCTGTGCCTTTTACTTTGCGCTACAGTAGATCGCCTTTCTCCTGCAAATGAAACCATGGAGCTCCCGGCTAAGAAAGAGGAGAAAAAGGTATGTTTCTATGACTTTCTTGATACTTAAAAAGAATAACCAAAGTTGTGGTATTATGTTTTCAATCCTGTTTTCAATATGTATCAATCCTAAATTGCTCACATGTTGACTGCACCTACAAATCTTGAATCCTGAATGATTTGTTTGTTTCTCCAGATGAAAGCAGCGCGAGCCAAGTTCAGTTTCCAAGCTCAGACACCGAAGTGAGTTACAGTGTGAGCGGATATAATAGACATTTCCTTTCTTGTACATATTGCAACATATTGTTCTCAAGAAAACGTTGTGTAAAAGGATCTCAGATTTAAAACTCAAATACAAATCTAAAGTGTCTTCTGAATGAACATTTTAACTTTTAACTCTTTAATCTAATTTATTTTCCTTATGCGGGTCTCTTTATTCTTTTTCCTTTCTTCAGGGAGCTCATGCTGCAGAAAGGCGACATTGTTTACATCCACCGGCAGGTAGATGCCAACTGGTTCGAAGGAGAACATCATGGACGAGCGGGCATATTCCCCACATCTTATGTGGAGGTACATTTCTCTATGGGTCTCATTTGAACTATCTGTACTGATGCTTTGTACTGGCTGTCTCAAACCATGTGATACTTTCTCAAAACTGGTTCCCTTGTCCTCCATAGATTCTGGCTCCTACGGAGAAGCCGACACCGATAAGGTCTCCCACTCTACAGGTGTTGGACTACGGGGAAGCTGTGGCTCTGTTTAACTTCAACGCTGATCTACCTGTTGAACTTTCTTTCCGGAAAGTGAGTATTACAGTGTTGCTGCAACAGAGAGGAAATGTTTCTATTGAATTATGTATTGGAACAAAATAATCTGTACTACTAGTCAGTTTGTTGCGTGAAATGTTATGAGCAATCAAATGCATTCAAATTTGTATTCGAGTTAGATGAGAAGATTGTTACCACTCCCAATGACTGTATGCTTAATGGAAAGCTACCAGCAGCTAGTTAGCTTATCTTAGCATCAAGTGTGGAAACAGACGGAAACAGCTGGCCTGGCTCTGTAACAAAATCCTCCTCCCTGCACATGGAAATTCACGAATCAACAAGTTGTATTTTGTGTGTTTAATTAGAACAAAAACTGTGAAAAAGTGTAAAAATGACTTGCAAACCTTTGCAGTACCAAGGTTTGCGTGTTACTCCCAAACTAAAATGGAATGATTTCTATCAATAGGCAATATATTGATATTACATTTCTGTGGATATTATATTTGTCTCTGTGTTTCTTCCTTAGGGCGAGGTGATCAATGTAACCAGGCGCGTTGACGATAAGTGGTTAGAAGGGAGGATCTCAGGGACCAACCGGAGCGGCATCTTCCCGTCCAACTATGTCCAGGTCAACAAGATGCCCCGCACCAGATTGTCCTCTGAAGACTTCCCAGCGGGGGGCCCCATGTCTCCCGGACCCCAGAGTCCAGGCCGTCCGCTGCACTCCCCCTGCCCGCGGTCACCCTTATCCCCTTTCACCCCCTCGTCCCTCAGCCCTAAACCCGGGAACTCCCCTCTGAATCCGTCTTCACCTGTTCCTTACGGCAGCCTAGCTTCACAATCACGCTCCCCCACTCAGACACCCGTATCCAAAGAAACAGCCAATCGATGGCCCTCAAAAACGGCTTCACCCACCAACCTGAACAACAACCACTGGGCTGGGACACAATCTGCTGTTTCCCACAGAGTAGGAGTAACCACAGCCAACACTCCCAGACACACTGACCCCCCACAGGTCTGCTCCACTGCCCTGCCTGAGAATCTCACTGCATGTCCACACCACTGTTTGTGTTGAAAGGGGTGTTGTTAATCATTCCTTTATTTCATAATGCCTGACATGATGTTTCTATTTCTTGCAGGGTGCGATACCAAACTCGGTCACGGCTCGGTCACACGTTAACTCCCTGCCACAAGTGCCAAACAACCCTGATTCCACAGCGGTGCCACGACACCCGTATGTTTTATTTGTCTATTATTGTTGCAAAAGTGTTGCAGCTTTGGTGAAATTGTGGCTTAAACTATTTGTTTGTCTTTTTTTTTCAATGGTATCTATTATAGACATAAAGCTGTTTACAACTACAAACCACAGAATTCAGATGAGCTGGAGCTCAGAGAAGGAGACATTGTGCAAGTGATGGAGAAATGTGACGATGGCTGGTTTGTAGGTAAGGACTAAGGAGATGAATACAAAAAAGATCACAACAATTTCACAGTTTTCTATTACCTCAATTTAGATGTATATGTTGAACGTATATATAGAGAGAGAGCCTTCAGTATAGTTTTAACACCTTTACCTGAAGGATGAAACATTCTTTTAAAATGTATTCCCATGTTTAGTGTTTTATCACTCTGATGAAGGGACTGGCTAACAAGAAGTCACTCTGATAGGTGTCGCCATTGTTGTTGCTATTGCTATTAGGTGACTTGAAGGCCATGATGTTTCATACACAAATCCAATCATTCAGGGGGCCTTTTATATTTTTATGTTTCTTGCAAATGTATTTAGGAGTAATTGTTACCACCTTGTAGACTTTACATGATATGGCATCAGTTAAGGTCAGTAAAGTCGTTTGATAAAGAATAAAATAATATGATATTACAGTACATTTCAAGTCTAAAGCCATTCATAAAATAAGTAAAACATAATAAAATGTTGTTAAGATTGTTTTAATTACATGAATTCTTAGTGTTTCTGTTGAATTAGGATATGAAAACATACAGCAGTGTTAGCTCTCCCTCTAGTGGACATAATGAACCATTGCAGATGATAATGCAACAATGAACTATGCATTGTGAATTGTTCTAGTATATGTGCTTACATTTATTTGTCACCGTTGTTTGACCACAGTGTGTGCTCTGCTCTCTGTAGGTACGTCAGAACGGACTCGTGCTTTTGGGACTTTTCCCGGGAATTACGTGGCACCTCTTTGACCTCTGCAATTCCTGCTTGCCCACATCCACCTGGACTCATACGAGCCCGAACAAACACTTGCTAAAGCTCAGATCCTTCTCTGACACCCCAGCCTTTCTTCATTCCATTACACCCACCACCCTGCTAATCCCAGTTAAATCCGACCTGCATGTTCCCTCTGTTTCCCAGAACAGAGGTGAAGGCAGGGACAACGAGTGGTTTTTCACCTCACCTCCCTGCATGAGTGCATGTGTGTGTGTGTGTGTGTGTGTGTGTGTGTGTGTGTGTGTGTGTGTTGCACTGAGACGTTGGGAGTGTTTTCACACACACTACTTGAGAGGAAAGAATGAATGCTGATGATACTGTTTCAGATGCAAAGAATGGACTTTTTTGTTCCGCAACTATTTGCAGCTGCAGGAAATTTGCATTCCTTCTCAGTGAACAGCACTGTTCCTTTTGAGATCCTCATACCGTTTCTGTCACCACAGTGCCATCACAAACCACTGCTGAGCATTTATGAATTAATAAGGCACATTTTTCAGGATTTTAAATGGATTAATGTTTAATTCAATTACTTCCTCAGATTGTTTTTCAGATCTTTGAAAATACCCTGGGCATGTTTGAGGAAACAACAAGAACATCTGTAGAAATCTGCGTAACGTAAAGTACCGTAAGGGCACGGACATGTCAAGAGACAGCCTAATACAAGGCTATGCAAAAGAGTGGTTATAATAAATGTGTGAATTGGTTTAATAAGCAAGTTAATAATGAGGGAAATGTGGCTCTTTTGGATGTCCCTCCCAAGCCATAGAGAGTGATGCCAAATGTGAAAGTTAAGAGAGGTCATGTTCTGTGCTGGAAAGGAAGTTTCTTTACTAAATGAAATGTATACATTTGACAAGATCCGCCTTGTTGCATAACCTTTAGCTAAATCTGGATACTACTTCCATATTAATGGTAAATTATCTTTTAATGTACATGTATTTGAAGCAAAGCTCTATGTGCCAAATGTAACCTTTCATGACAATTCTCTTTTTAAATCGCCATTTAAAAATTCCCAGCTCACCTTATTTCTGCTACTACTGCTTTTATAATGTGTATCTGCTTTCAGGGTTAACATTCTCACAGTATTTCCAAAATCACACATGTTTTTAACAGTGCAACTTTTTAAAAGTGTGACCTTGAAAGCTAATTAAAAATTCTTATTATGAGGTCATTTTTCTATGATATATACATGATTTCACTGTATAAATTGAATCATATTAAGTATAGACACAGGAGATGATTGTACAGACTGTAACCTTTTATCAAATTGAAAGTATAATATATATTTGCTTATAAAACAATGTATCTCATTTGTATGGTACGCAATTTTTTAAAAGCAATTAAACATTACAGAGTGATACTGAGAGACCTCGTGTTCATGTGTTTATTTTGGTAAAGTCTGTTCATAAATGTTGATTCAACAAACACTTGTGTATGGAGCATTATCATAAAGGTATTTGTACTGAATTTTGCAAATGTTTACCAATCAAATAACATGAAAATAAACACAATACAATGGTAATACATTCACACAAAATACAATACATAAAACATGTTCTGATTGTATTTTATTATGAAGATATTCAGATTTTTACAGTATCAACATAATTATTAAAGGTGGGGTAGGTAATTTTGGAGAAACCAGCTCGAGTGCGCTAGAATTTCAAAATACACAACCGGAAAAAATCTGCCTCTTCCTTACAGAGCCCCTCCTCCAACACACACGAACGCGCACATGACCAATGAGGGCACGAGTTAAGTTTGTGCACAGATGGAAGGCTGACAGGCAGGTTGGCCATCCAGTTATTTTAGCCGGCTCAGATGATTGGTCGTGCTTTTTACAGCGCCACGGCTTCCACAGATGGGATATTTTTATGTATTTATTGTCAAAGCATTTAATATATTCATTGCTATCGGGATGTTAAGAGCATTCCATGGAATATAACAAAAAGTGTTTCTGAAATAAATTACATACCCCACCTTTAAGTTGATACACTAGGTGACCCCTTTAGGTACATCTTTGAAATCTTGTATAGTTACGACATTCCTGGTATAACCTCTATGTTTACGGAGCTTATAATATTCAGTTTTTGGTATATGAACTTTTGGTTTTTGGATGTTTGGAAATGTGTAAATATTAGTCAATGTTTATTATTGAGGTCATAGTTAAAGGGGGTCTACTACTGGACTACAAGACACGTTGTACCTCCCTATTTACAGACATGAAGGGGACATAATATAAGAAACAGCTCTAAATACAATGGAGTCCAGAAAATCACCATCAATAGCTATGACCTCAGTGCTAATGCCTTTATAACGCCCACCCTTCAAACTTTTAAGTCCCGCCTGAAGACCCACCTCTTTTCCCTCGCTTTCGAGTCAGTTTGAGCTATGTTTTATCGATTTTTATGCTTTTAATGTCTGTCCATAGCCTTTATGTGCCTTTTATCTATTCTTATGTGTGCCTTTTATCTATTATTGTAATATTATATTTTATTATAATGTTATGTTTGCTGTGAAGCACTTCGGTAAACCCCCTGTTTTTAATATGTGCTATATAAATAAAGTGGATTGGATTATAACATAGTTAAATAAGAGGTATCATACAATTCTACAGCAGCAGACTAAATTGGACAAGACAAGAAATATGAAGAAAGTCTGATTGAATTTGATAAATCTCATTGGTGTGACATTTATTTTATCGTCCAATTCTTATTTTGATTTTAAGAGACTCATAGTAATTTATAATGTACTTGTTCTGTACATTTATAACACAGAACACCTTTATGAAATTTACAAATTAAATAATAAAAACCAGAACAAATCGATTACTGGAAATAAAGTTTTTATTTTAGCTGATATATTTATTAAATAATAATAATAATAATAATAACTTTAATTTATATAGCGCCTTTCATCAACCCAAGGTCGCTTAACAAAGAAACATATAAGGACAAGACATAAAACAGGTGGCAGAAATGGAAGTGTTACATTGCAAGGGGGGGGGGGGGGAGAGTGAGTTCATTAATACAAGCTAGTATCAGAATCAGAATCAGGTTTATTGCCGCTTGCAAGGAATTTGCTTTGGTTTGGTTCATAAATAAACACAGTGAGGGATTCAGTTATACAGAAGAAGAGGCAGATATAGAACTACAAAAACGTTTAAAAAAACTATTATACAATTTAATTAAAAGGAGAAATCTGATCAAATGTTTACAAAAAGTTACTCTGAAAATGTGCACTATTTACATCACATAAAATGACAGAGCTGTGCGTGTGTAAGGTAGGAGCATTGTGCTTAAAAGTATAAAATATGCAGGGAATATGCAGGGCATCAATTATAATGTGTAACCAGTGACGCCAGGTGAAAGAGATTATCTTTAATTAACAAGCTGGTAGGACAGACAGGTGAACTACGTCATTAACTAATTGACGTGACGTCCGCTGTGAGCACGTGCTGCTCTGCTTCGCGCGGTCAGCAGATGGCGCGCACACACTAAACGCAGCCTCAGTGTTTTCATGATAAATGGCTCAATTATCAGTGCTGCACCCTCCTCTCTTCTCTTCTCTGTGATGCGACCCGCCCATTCCTGCTGCCTGTGTCAGACCTTTTATTTTGGTAACAGCACATGGCTCATCCCAGTGATAGCACTGCGCGCGCAGCTACAGGTAGTGTCCATGGGTGCCACAACCTTAACATCTGAAACAAAAGACACAAGGGACTACAGGCGCCTCATCACTGCTCCAGAGCTCCTACAGTCACGGAGGAAACTTATAAAGCTGCTTTCTGCTTTTGTTTGGTCGCATTTTGGAAGCATTTTTCTAATCTGAGGTGAACTACTCTGCTGGATCTGTGTTTACTGTTTTGACGAGGAGCGACGCGATTTAACAGGTGGAGAAGTCACCTTAAATCACTCTTCTTACCTTGGTAAGTACTGTAGTGTGAGTTAAAGTGTCTAAAACTCCTTAAAGAGTCGTAGCTTACTTAACAACTGAATTGGATGTGCATTGCTCCTTCATTTATCAAAAACTTCAGTAGTTTAAACTACTATAAACTATTTTGTTTGTTTTTTGCACTTTTTATGTCTAAAAGCATAATTTCACATCACATTTGACTTTGTACCGTATGTTCCCTTGCTGTGGTTTTTATAGCAGTATTGGGATTTATTATACTTTGATTGTCCTCATTATTCCGTTCATAAAGTGTGGGAACCTCGGAATGCATTGAAGCTTCTAAATTATGATTGATGCCAAGTATGCGCAGTTAAAATGTGAACTACACACATATGAGGTGTTTTGCCTAAATATGATGAGGGGAAAGTCAGTTTTCTGACTGAAAACAGTCTTTCTAGCACCTTCTGTAGACCTTCCACCCTGTCAATGCATCTGTATTCAGGAGAGCAGAAGGTTATTTCTCTGGCACATTAAGCAGTCAGTCAGGGTGATTTGTGGAAGGGCTGGACCAGGTGCAACCTCAGGAATCTTAAAGCCAGTATTTCTGTCACATTAGTTCAGAACTGTAAGCTGTTATCTTCTCCCCCCCCCCCCCCCCCCCCCCCCCCCCCCCCTCTTAAAATGGCCTTTTGAGGGTTATGGTCCACTGTAGTTCCAGTTCAGCACTGTAATTCCCTCACTCCCTTCACTTTCCAAAAATGTCTAGACATGGCTGTTACTACAGTTCACTTAATCAATGTTCAGAGATAAATAGACCTGGCCTGTGAGCTCAGCAGGTGGGACATTCGTTTGTGGTGTTTCACAGAGTTCATGTGTAGTCCAGAAACCTCATATTTCCAAAGTTTGTGAAGCTTCCCCACTGGGATGTTGTGCCTCACTTTTACACACTCTCACTTTATAGTGTTTGTTCCCTAGTGGCTTCTCTTTGTCAGAGAGTGCTGTTACTCAGATAGGACAGGGCTGAAGCCATCTAGAAACCAAAAACAGACCACTGTAATTTTGGAAAGAGCAACGCGGTGGCTTTTCAAGAAAACTCGTTACCTTCTACTGTAACTCAAGGAAAGAATATGTTTGTTTTACTATCCGGTTGAGGTTTTTTTTTTTTTTTTTAGTCGTCTTTTTTAGTTTTGATAATTACTACTGTGGTGTTGTGCTTTTCATTTAGGCCCCTAACAGACAGCTTTCCTCTGAGATAAACACGTTTATGGTTATGCAGGAAGTCATTATGTGTCTAAGTGATGAAAGGAGGGTTTCTTTTGGCGCGTGGTTTTCAGTTTAAGCTGAGGCAGGTTTCTGACTGTGCAACTTTCATATTATTAAATGTGGAAAAAACCAGTTTGTAGGGTAGGGTAGGGGATGTTTCTCCGCAAGCATGACACATGCCTCTGGATGCAGTAAGGTGCACAGTTGCAACAGTGTTTTTTGAGAGTGTGCATGTGAAGAACAAAGTGGTTGGTGTGTCTTTGTGAGGAGGGGCTAATGGTGCATGCAGAGGATGTGGTGAAACGGCCTGATTGCGGAGCAGCAGTGTGTGCAGCCTGTTGAGTGTGAACAGCAGTAACATGATCTCCAGATGATGATGATGCAGAGGCAGATAAGTGGAGACACTACCACAGTGTCCTTGTCCTGTTATCAAGCATACTTCACCGGGGACACAATCTAGTCCACTGTAGCAGTGCTGCAAAGTTTTAAAAGGGATGATGGGTAATCTTAGAATTTGTCTTTTTGACCTGAAGAAGATACGCTTATGTGTCAGGAGGGTGCACCTTTAAAAGCTTTCTCACTGAAAAGGGAGTAGGCAATCCAACATAAATTACAGGTTACTTTGATGACACATGTACTATTATCAATATACAGAAACTTAAACAACACCCTTTTTGACATCATTAAGTTGTTGTTTAATGTTTTCTCATCTCCTTAGTGACTGCTAAATCTGACCAAATGGGTGTGATTTGGAGAATGCCCAGAATGTTATTTCACTCTTCTCAGTCCAGGGAGAGGCTTGCTATGGCATTCCTTTCCTCTTAATTCAGAGGGTGTGTGTGTCCAGGTAGGTGCCTACTTGTGTGACACACAGGGTAGAATCAACATCAAACCGCATCACTGACGAAGGACTGTGGAAAGTTCAATCTGGTGTACGTCCACCCATGAGCACTTTGACACGCGTGATTCATACGAGGAATATTCCCCCGCAGCCACAGAGGTTCATCTGAGTGAGTGTGCCGAATCAAAGCAGTACATCCAAATTATTCAGTGGGATGTACTGCATCTGCTATGTTCATTAGCCTGTCTTTTAGTATTAGCATGTAGCTTGAGCCAGTGTTTGTTCATTTCAGTTCTGTGATTTTCTGCCCAGAGTCCAAGAAGGGGAAGGGAAAAACAGTCTCAAGTTCTGGTGATTCAGAAAGGAGGTGAAGAGTTGATGTAGGTGGTCAGGTTTGGCTGCCAGACTTTTTTTTTTTCCATATACAGAGGTTTAGTCAGCAATACAATGTTTATTTTATGCTGTTTAGTTTTAATGAATATTTGATTTCCACCGCAGAACATATGGTAGCTTTGTGTTTTTCCAAATGTTGAATTCCTTGGAATGAATGAGGTGTTAATTCTGAGGATTCACTTTGATAAACATAATGACTATAATGGCTTATCTAATCAATTCTTTTCACTTTTTAATAATAACCGTCAACATGACCAATGGTTGCCATCACTGTTTTGGTGACATGCCAATTAAAGTTAATTACTCTCGTGTGCGAGTCATTATCATTGTTGCCATGCTCTAGTGAATTGCAGAGACAGTTTCAGACTCGTGTTAGCAGGTTTCACTCATTCCGCCGTAACTACCCGTTAGTGCATGTTATGGGTTGTTATGTCAAGTAAACATACTCAATTGAGGACTGCACATCAGTTAGGTGTTGTTGTGTGTCTGTGAGTCTCACCCTAAACGACACTCGGGTTCACCGCCTCTGACCGTAATGGAGACACACCGAGGCTTACCTCATCTCTAGTCAAACACAAATTAAAATGGCTGCAATACTGCTGCAGTTAAACTCTTAATATATGCAGCAAACACATAGCAACATGTATATTTATGTGACAGAAAGTTCTGCTACACGTATGTCAATGTATAAATTAAGTATGCTTATTCGCAAACTGTTTTTCTTTTAATACGTCATCAAAAACATTCAATATCAATCATTCATTTATGTTTTAGCTTAAAATATGAATAACTTTATCTGATTTTGAGACAATGTTTTCCTTTCTGTCCTTTAGTTTTCTCCATGAGCACGTCATGTATTATTGAAAACAGTTTGACAAAGAAACCCTTTAGGCTCCCCTGCATGTTGAAACAATGAGCGTTGAATCCAACATTGGGAAAGGACTGTGCTTCCCTTTCATACCTCCACTATCTCCTTTGCCTGAGGGACAGTCTCTCATACATGTAGATCTGCCAAAAGGCCTGTGATGTATATATATATATTTTATAAAACGGACAAGTAAAATCAAGCAATCTGATTGGTTCTTAGCCGTGGTATACTGAGCGTATACCACGGGTAGAATTGTAAGTTACTTTTCACAACAACTCAGTATCCCTCCGCGTCTGAGATAAACAGTATACAGTTGGGCTGAAAAGCAAACTGCCTGCAGTTTGCAGGGGGTTGCAGGGGGTTGTCGACCCTCCGCTTCGCGTCGGGCCGAACCACGCCCCTTAGCTGTGATATAATGAGCATATACCACGGCCTGTCGTGAGCTATTGCTTAAATATACATGCATGACAGGTTTTGATTTTCCCAGACACTGAAAATGAAGTCAGTCTGACCTCATTAAGGTCTTGTTTACTCTTTGAACCTCTCATTGTTCTTGCCACACCAAAGTTGCTTCAAATACAGAGTGTAAACATCAAGATTTGGGGCTTTGTTCGACATGATTCCTGATCCTGAACCTGCTAATAGTGAATATCTTGAGCCATTACATGACGTTCATACTTTAGGATCTTCCCTAAATAGTGTTTCTGAGTTCTTGGACATTCACTTTAGTTTGCCATTTGCTAGTAAAGCTCTCTATTAAAACATAGTGATCAAATATTTGTATGTTTTGATCCCAGGTAACCCTTCTCTTCTTGGGTAAGCAGTGGAGAAAATCCTGAGGGTGATTTTGAGCTGAAGTGTCCCTTTCTCACCTGGCATGAATGCTTTGTTAGATGCTGTAAGAAGGACCACATTTTAGGGCCTTAACTCGCACGGCAATTTCCTTAAACTAAAGTTGTTAATACTTATTTGTTTTGTCTGACCAACAATCCAAAACCTAATCATATTTGGTTTACTATGACATCTCAAAAGAGAAGGTCTTTTGAAAAGCAGTTCACCATTTAGCATAGGGTCAGAAAACGTTTTGGCCCTTTGGCTTGAAACTGTACGTTGTTGTTTTTTGTGGCAAATGGCTATCAATTGAATTCACTAAATTGTCTCAGCAGAGCCTTTATAGCCTCCATAGGAAGATTCTTATCAACACCTTTTCCCCACACACACAAATGAATGTCAGATGTATGATTTATCACAGAGCCATTTAGTTAGACTACGTCACTTTAAGATGGGCGTACCGAATTAACTAGTTTAATGAGTTAATGGTGAACCTGTTCGGGAAAGATGCTTCCTTTAGTCCAACCTGATTCCTGTTTGTTGGTATGTAGGAATGCAGGCTAGTTGTAAACATGTCCATTGTGTTGGTCGGAAGTGAGAGTATTTCACTTCGCCTACAGGCCCAGTTTCCATTCGCCTCACGCTGACCTCCTGCTGTGCGGCTGATGCTGAATCGAGCTATAGAAATAACTTCATGACTAGAATTGTTCTCATTGTGTTGGCGGTGTTTTAATTGTGCTGCCAGTTTGGCGTGGCAGCGAGATGTCACCAGAACAGAATTAGCCTTGTTAATGGGTATTGGCAGCTGCTCAGGTGCATCTGTGCACTGGGGACCCTGCTCAGCGCTTTGTTTAAAGCCAGCAGCAGTGCAGTCTTAAAACCTCATCAATGGCCATTTAAAGCGCATTAGTGTGCCGCTTATTCTTTACCACCATGTGCTTTTCTTCTCAGCCTTCTGCCGCATACTTTCCCCATCCTTTCACTTCGACATTATCCTCCATTAGGGCTTTTATGATGCGAACAGTGCACGTTTACGCAGGGAATTAGCAGGGTGCTCGGTTCATAATGTCCGCTGCAGAAGCAAATGGAACTAATTGACACCACCAGAGGCTGGGAAACTTTGGGGCGGCTGCTCCCTGTCATTATCATAACTTCACTTATTTCTGGAGGCCACAGCAATTAAGAGACCCTAATGATGGTGAGCCCACTAACCCGGCTAATTGGCCCGGACTGTTAATGACTAACCATCGCTACTCTACTGTCAAACACTCGTGGAATATGCAGCTGATTAAATGGTTCAGAGAGATTGGAGGAAATAGATATCCACTTTATTCGTACAACTAAGATGTTCAGTACCTTTGCTCCGCGTATCTTTTAGAAGCTTTGATAACTCTATTATGCAATGTTTGTAATCATTGACAGACTTTATTTGTCGAGTAAGGTTATGATTTACATTCCACTGTTGGCCACAATATGTATTTCTGTCAACACTTTCTGATAAGCAGAGTCGGCATGAACTTTCAAGTTAGATTTTATTGGGATTATCAGATCTTATCCGCGGTGAACTGATATAGTTAAGGTTAAATGGTGCACAATTCTCATCCTAATTTCTCAAAGTCTAAGGTGATATCTTGTTTTGTCTTTCCAAAACCAAAAGATGTTAAGTTCAATATGATTTGAAAAGCAGGACATCTACATATTTGATGAGCTAAAAACTGCATTTTAGCAAGAAAAAGAAAAGTACTGCTTTATAATTCTGCATGACTTGACTTTTTATGAAGTGTGAATGGACATTTAAAAAAACAATAGCGATAGTGAACATGTATTTTAATACCAAAAAGTTCAAATGAAATGCAGATTGTCTCTGTAGAAAGCAACTCTCAAATATTAGGTGTGATTTACTTTCAGACGATGAAGTAAGACACTTTGTTTCTGTTGTGGGTTAGTCAACGGATGATTTAACATTGTTTGGGTGCAGACTTGGTGCAGAGGGGCAGGCTATACTTAAAAGAGCTTGTGTAATTGTCTACGTGTGCAACTATATATTACTTGTAACTCTAATGTCTTTATCTAAAATAAATGCATGTTTTGCCAGTGAGCCACAGACACGCGTGTGTGTTTGCGTTGTGCAGGTGTTGATGTGTTTATGAACTGTAAATGCTCAGCCCATCATCACCCTACGCTCCGCTGTCTCTGCATGCAATCCTGCAACAGACACGCTTCACCTGCAGCTGTGAACCAAGTCTGAGCAAACCAGCACTTAAAGCACACGTTATCCTGAAGTTTAAAAACATCACTTTAATGCTTTAAAGCAGGGGTGTCAAACTCAAGGCCCGGGGGCCAAATCCGGCCCGTGACTTCATTTTATGTGGCCCCACAAGAGCTTGCAAAGAATATAATATGTTTGTTATACGGTTACATGGCGATGTCCCACAATGCATCTCAGATATGCCTTTTTTCTCAGAATTGTTCTTTTTTTTGAAAATGTTACTTTTTTTTCAAAATGTCACTTTCTTCTTGGGGATTTTGACTTTTTTTTCAGAATTTGGATTTTCTTTTTAAATCATTTTGTGACATTCTCACTGAAGAGACTTGCAATTATTTGCCCTAGACTTCTTCTTTCAGACGTAGTTAGTTATGAAGTTATTACCCTATCTGATAATAATCCAATGCAGAGGCAATCATGTAATATAATACATAATTTTATATATATTTATATATGTATATTTATAAAGTCTTAAAGTTACAACCGGCCCTTTGAGTGCAACCATAATGCTGATGTGGCCCTCGATGAAATTGAGTTTGACACCCCTGCTTTAAAGTGTGTTCTGCTCTAGTTTTCTCCCACTGATTTGATAGAATATATAAGAGGTGTTAATGTTTACAGTGAGATTAGTTAATTATCTCCCAAAACAATTCAAGATTTATTGATTGATGTTTTATTGCCACCATCAGTGCCATGTTTTGTAACCCACCTTGCTGATAGGAACATTATGAACCTTGTCATGCAGTTCAGCCAACAGTGTTCACACCAAGGGGAATTTGACACTGAGTGATTTGTTTGTAGGAATGGTAAACACCCGCCAGGTGTTTGCCGTGTCAGTGAGCATCAAGCAACATGAAGCTGGATATTCAATATTTAAAGTATTTACTCATGTGGACCCTCATTTTTGGACCTCCACACAAATGAGCCATTGCAGAAAGTTTTTACGAACAGCTGAAGAAAATCTCTGCTGCAGACGGTAGCAAACAACAAACTCCACACCAATTAGGATTCTGCAATGTGCAATATTTTGGAAGCGCAATCATCACCGGTAATTAAAGATGAAAAGAGAATGAAAGAACATCTGTTACTTGGCTATCTATTCATGTAGCTCATTTGTAAGTAATTATTAACAGAATCTTGTTCCTTAACAGACGACTTGATAGTCAGTGCTGTCAATCCCAAAATATTGTCAAAATGAACTGATTTGTCCCTTATGGGAAAGCTTGATTTTCTTAATATTGCATTATGCCATTCAAAAACAGAGAATAGAACAATGGAAACTCCTCACATGGTTTCACTAAACATGGCGCCTCCAGTGATTGACAACGGACTTTGTGAGAAGCAAAATCTTTAAATATGAATGCCAACCATTCATAAATATTGGAACTACTATAGAGGAACTAAATATGTATTGACTTCTTATGCACCCCATTCTTATACAGAAGTTTCAAATGTCCACCAAACTATTTACCATACATCAGAGTACGTCACTGTATACTAAATATGTACATTAAACAAAACAGTCGGTGAAATGTATGCCAGCACGACTTTTAATTTGTTTGTTTTTCCTTGTCATGAAAGAGCATTTGGACTTGAGGCACTCTTTGGCTTTGCAGACACTTCAGTATTGTTAGTCATGTGTCTTTGGTTGGAGATTCTTCCAATTCCTGTTTGATGTGGTTACAAAATTCTTGTCAAGGGGACTTAGGTCCGTGGAAGTGAAGGGTTGCTGGAGATGAAAGGTGGCTTATGTAAAATACAATATCTTCTCCCCTACATTGGTGTTGTTTCCTTATTTATTTGAGACATAATAATAATAATAATAATACAAAAACTTGCTAGATTGTTTGATAGGTATATATTTTATTCTTATATTATTGTATACTCCACTGTTTGATTTTGCAGGAAAATGGATCACAGAACAGATTAGTATACACATAATAAGGTTTTAAATTTCAAATATAATATTATGGCAAACTCGGCTACCTTTCAACATAAATACTTTTAAGAGTAAGAATGTAGAAATAACTAAACAGTACAGTCATTAAGTATATAAACTATTAACAAGGGTATACATTTAGCTTCTTTGTTCTTCGTTTAGGGAATTTTCCAAACTAGACTATTTTGCACAACTTTAAAGCCTTGTATCGGGACCATTTAACATATTGGGACGTTTAGGTGGTTAGCTTAGCATAAGCAATGCTAGCAGACTGTTTTGCACAACTTTAAAGCCTTGTATCGGGACCATTTAACATATTGGGACGTTTAGGTGGTTAGCTTAGCATAAGCAATGCTAGCAGACTGTTTCACCCGTCCTGGCCATGATGGAAACACTCAGTGGTGCCTATGTTTATGTCCCACATACTACTGTCATTCTCATGCTTTCTATGTCTCTTTATTTCTCTCCAGGGATTTGACGAGTGTGTGCCGACCTGATCACTAAATGGCGCTGACGGTGAACCTTATTGGTCCTTCGCCATGGGGCTTCAGAATATATGGAGGAAGGGACTTCAAGAAGGCCATTACTGTATCAAAGGTACTTCAACACGGCCGCCTTGTTGCTGAACCTCGTCACACCTTATCAAACCATATCCTCTTGTTTTTGCATAACATGCCATTACAGGCCGTGTTTCCTCAAAGTCAACTTCCTCCGCACTACGTCTCTTTTCTTGTCTTTGTTTGTGTCCGCGGGCTGCTTCGTACCTATTTCCTTGACTACTAAACCCGTTGGAAAAGAATGGAACTAGATTACATTAGAAGGAAACCACTGATTACAGTTACAGTGGAAGCAGAGGTGGGAGGTGAGGGGTGAGGGGGGGGTCTGTGTGTCTTGAGTGGATTCACATCAGTACATTCCTAGTCACTGTTAAAAAAAAGAAAAAGGAAGATGGAATAAAACAAGTGGAAATGTTACCACTATAAGCAGACGGCGCGCAGTAAACAACACCAGGAAACCTTCTGCATACCAGAGACTCCCAGTTCTACCGTCACCACCTCAGACTGTTTTTTTTCCAGAGAGACTTTCTCCTTAGACCATAAACGATGAATTATGGCCACACTATGGCATGGCACCAGTGCTTCACACAGACTCAGACTTCAAAAGCATGAATTGTTTACCCCCCTCTTGACAATTTATGCCAGAAATACGAGCTGATTTTTCTTCTCTCACTGCTGACCAGTAAACAACACCAGCATGTTTGCTTGTCTCAAGTATCAAACTGGTTCTCTGAAGTGACGGATTCCTGCTGAGAGAGAAACTTCATCACTGAAATTGGTCTGCAAAGCCCAGTTTGTAAATGGCTTGTCTTACCAACAGCACACGCACACGCACACGCACACCTCGTGGTAAAGCAGCCACAGGATTGGACCATCTGAAGTGGTTTGCACTTGGCATAGAGACGACAGAGATGCCCTCTTTTATTCGTTAGCCTGAAAGATAGCGTTTCAGTCGGGGAACAATCCTGGTTAAGAACCCCCAGCTGCTTTTAGTTTATGTGAAACCAGGCGTGTCCTGAGCAGAAAAGGCACGCAATACTGTAGGTCACCACAGCAACGCCTAATTGCCTCTGGAGTGGGCCCACAGACATGGCACCTCTGCTCTCTTATGTTGCTAAACTGACAAACAGCCCGTAGACTGGCACTCGCTTTGCATCCATTTTTCCCCTTTAGATGTAGGAAAGAGTCTTTAATCTTCTCTGATTGGCTCTTTATTTGTTTTGTTTAGCATTCTTTGTTTTATTGCCTCGCTCTGGTTTTAACTGTGAGGCGAGCACTGTTTGTGGCAAATGTCATACTTCTCTCTAAATTCGAAGCAGCGGCAACCTCCTCATTTATTCGCCTTTTTGTTTTTGTAAGCCTGTGTGTTTGGGAGCCCGGGACACGGGAACCAAGCTGAGAGCGGTGGCTTGGACATTATGTTTCGGCCCATTAGTGTGGAATTCCTTCTGATGTGGCGCTATAGCATTGGCTTTGACATGCGCTGAGGCTGGCTGCAAAGGTCAAGCCCAGTCAAACCATCAAGTAGTGTCACACTAATGGCTTCTCCCCGAGGCTGTCATGAATCTGTCCGCTGCTGACCGGCACTGCCTCGTTCCATGTGTGTGAAACAATGTGGCGTCTGTTGGTATTTACTCCGAGTATTATGTGTTACAGAGGGCGACGGTTCGATTATGAGTGTGGCAGAGGTGTGAAGCAACTCGTCAACACCTTTTCTCATTTACTCAATTTTTAATGCTGAGTGTCAGCCGCTGACAAATTGTCCACACAGCCAAAAGGCGAGCTGTCTACGCTTGCCAGATGGATAGCATCCTTAAAGTGGGATGTTGAGAGCAGGACCTGAGGCCAGTAGGTCCTAACATTATCTCATTCTTCCTTTTCAACAGGTCAACGGGGGTAGCAAGGCAGAGAAGGCCGACATGCAACCCGGAGACATTATCTCTGAGATCAACGGGGAGAACACGGCCGACATGCTGAACGTGGAGGCCCAGAACAAGATCAAGAACTCAAAGACTCAGCTGCAGCTCATGGTAGAGAGGTACGTGCAGATTTGCTATACAAACAAATGTTCCTGCTTCCATGACTTCATGTTATGCATTGGATTTATACGCCTAAAATACTTGCAATGCAGTGCCATGCAACCTACTGCAGCATACTCTCCCATATGAAAAGGTGATTGCCGCAATACCACCTGAAGAACTTGCCAAAAACAAGGATCTAGACTTAACTCTTGGAGAACTTCATCCTGTAGCCTCCCCTCTTCCGTTACGCCGTGAGAACTACAACACAGAATGACACGTATACATAGCCAAACATATTAGCATATTGTGCTACACATATGAATGAAAATAAGAAAATGAAAACATAAAACAAATACCTCGTTGGCCGCTTGTCGTGAAAGGAGATTAATCTTACAGTTCCTTTTCTGTATAACCTTGTCACATTAAACTTTGTCACATTAAACTTTGTCACAGACTTCAGCAGAGCTTCAAACAAAGATGTCAACCCACGTAGAGTTGTCCAGTGTAACAACAAAACACGCAGTACCAGCACATGAACAAACATTAGTTCCTAGGCACAAGAAACAAGAAACACATACGCATATCGGTTTATGTTTATGTAAAACAAACTGTATTAAATCATGCCATATTTAACGATTATAAAATAACATGAAATAAAGTATTTATTTATCTAATTGAACTATGACATTAATTGTGTTATTCTTTTGTTAATCAAGCTAACTTTGGTACGTCATTTACAGCCCTCATTTTCTGCACTTGTGCCAAGACCACAGTTGCCCCAGATCCTCTTTTTTCTTAATGATGTTTTTAGCTTTATCATGCAGACACTGTACCAACAAAAACAAGTGATTATAATCAGGGGAAATGCCAGCATGTATGAGAGCTGAGTTCCTCTTTCCTGGTAACTTCTTAATACACTGTTTTGAGATTTGCCAAGACCTTGTTTGGATGAGTTTGAGTTGGCTTATAAATGTTTTCCTTTGAGCCAGGAATGTCATTGGATGGCATTTTGATTAAATGCCCTCCCTAAGTTCAGATTTCTTGTCAAATTGCCCTCGTCACTCTTTTTTTTGTGTCCCAAACGCACACCCACGCACGTGTGCTTTCACATACTTCCTCCTTGGATGTTCCATGTCCATGTGAGTGAATTTTTTCCTGCTGACCTCATGTCTCCAATCAAGCCAGAAACAACACCATTTCTCTTTGCTTGCCCAGGATAATGCCAATGTGTAGTTCTCCCATGTCATTAATCCCACTCTGTGAACTGTCCAGCACCAAGACTTCTGTCTTAATAACCTCAAGCATACCGATTTGAATTGCTGTCAGACACACTCTCAAGAGGTGTATAGTTGAGTGGCACACATCTGTAATGTCTGATTTGTTCTTAGCTTAGTGAGAGTCCTGCCAGCTCAACATCTGTTCGGTAGTTAATTGTCATCAAACCAGCAGTGATGTGGGTACTGGCTGTCATAACACATATGGGGTTGCACAATGGAAGACGCTGGCATCTGCTCAACATCAAAATGTTTGAGGCGTGTCTGTACTGTATACAGAGGCAGTGGTTTTTTGTTGGTGCAGCCAACAACATTCTCATCCCAGACTTTGCTAACTGGGTTATTTTTGCATAACAAAGCAATCACACCATCACTGTCTTGTCATCGACCCTTTGTTCGAAGCTACTTGTTTGGACTCCATTGTTCATTGATGCCTTGTGGATGATGTCACGTTGACCAATGTTGACCATTCGTGTCTCTGATCCGGTTGCTCTCTTGAATGTAGTTGTAAATACTCACGGGTATAGCTTTACCACACAGCTATGCTGGTGCAGTACTATAGTTTCATCTTTGATACTGAGATGCTGTAAAATGTTGGTAGTAATATATTAAAGCTCCATGTGCGTGTCTCCAGCTATTGAAATCTTGGCAGTGTGTCTAACATCTAACTATGAGATAAACCAAAAATGATCCTGCTATTTTACAGGATGTAAATGTTTGGGCATTTTAACATTGGTCTCAATAGGGATTGACTTGATTTTTGAGCCAGTATGCGGTGACTATTTGAGGAACTGCAGTTGACACTTGCATGATAGCTTCATTTTTTGTATCACAGGTTGCCACTTGAAAAAATAGAACTTTGGCTCATTCTATCGACCATTTTTCAAATGGAATCAAAGCCTCAAACAGTACAGTATGTAACTTCTGCTTCTTTTGGATTTGAATCTTCTTGAGTCAATATTTCATTTTTTTATTTCCAGTTCTCAGAATAGTATTCTTGCGATGCTGGGCATGACATTGGAAGAATCTGCCTCAGGCAGGTTAACTCCAGGTTCCCTTGTTGACGGCTGTGCACAGCACATAACAGTAGAGGGCTTCACGTGCTAATTTACAGTATGTCAGTCTGGAATACAGTCACAGTCAGCAATTTCACCAGAAGCAAATTCTTCGTCTGTCATGGAGATGTGTAACCAGAGGTCATCGGATATAGAGTAGCTGTTATCTAATCATTGATCTTAAACATGTCTCATGTAGGTGATAAGTGGAAGTCTAAGCAAAGGTGAGCATTTTGCAGCTGTGCAGGTCATAATTCAAAGAAATGTGTTCCTAGCTAGCCACAAATATCTCTTACCTAGGGATAAAATGTCTCATGGCTGCTGTATCAGTTCTTGTCATCTTGCCATCTCTCTCGCACACAGTATGTGGAGCCCGGGCCACGAGAGGTGTGTTTCTGGGTGATTTACCACAGGCATCCAGGCCTTCCTGTGTGCCTCATTACCTCGGGCTCAACCAAAATCCTGTCAGCCTCTGGCCCTGCAGCCGGGGGGGTACTGTGTGTTTGCATTGGCACTTATACTGCCCATATTTCCCCCTGTAGAAGCAATTATGGAATGGCTTACAGTGTTTTCTATTTAAGAAAGTAAAACAAAAGTCACTTGATGGAAAGACGAGAACCATGAATATTTCCTAAAGGGGTCCAGGGTCTGCAGTGCTCTTCCTCTGCTGTACTCTGTAGGATTAATGGGAACATACTGATGGAGGCCTGCCAGGACATTAGCAAAAGGGATGTCAAAAATGATGTTTTTGTTTGTACTTCAAATGAAGTTCCCTTAGACTTATGACCCTTTTAGAAAATTGATTATTTTTCTTGAAAGTTCTTAAACATGACGTACTTTCAAGTGCAGATGCTTGTCCAGAAAGTAATTTGAAAGTTTTGACTACGTTGCTTATTTATTTAATGTTTTTACTGCCTTAGTTAATTATCTTTTCAATTCAACAGCAATGAGATCAGCCTTTTAATCAAATTGGAAATCATTTTTGGGTATGCAGATATTATGAGTTTTGACAGTCTGTTGATCTCTGTGGTTTTATTTATTTCAAGACCCGACCCTCCCAGCTCTGGACAGACCAACGGCACCATCAGCCCCGAGCAGATCACCGGACGCTTCCAGGTCAGCACAGGAGCTTTAATCTGTCCACAGTTTGTCTTCATGACTGCACACTAAATTGAAAATTCGTGTCCATAACAGTATTCTCCATATGTGCTTCATTTCTACTAATGCATGCATGGCACATCTGTTTGACATATCTGCTTCTTTTGCTTCCTCAATATGGAAGCAATAAAATACTTTGTAGTGATTTAGTATCTGTTCCTGTGTATTATTGAGATCAACGTGAGTCCCAAATCACCACCTGCAATACATGTTGATACTAAGTACAACATCTCTGGATTTGTTTATAGATACAACATTTATTTATGCATTCATGTGTGTGAAGGTATTCTCAAAGGTGTCCGTTATGCTTCTCAATTCTACTTGCAGTACAAATAATCAAGTTATATACATGGATGGTAATGTGATGACATTCCTGTGATGTGTTGCAGGAGGCAGTAATCGTGAGTAGAGATGAGAATCAGAACTACAAAGAGTACACCATCTCAAGCCCGGCGTCTCTGTCCCCCGGACCTTACTCACCAGATCCCTTTGGCAGCTCTGACGGGAAGAGGCTGACACCCACCGTCAACAAGAGGTAACTCACGTGACCAAAGTGCAACGTTCAAGCATGAAATAAATCAGTCACACTATTTATCTGCGATGCTTATCTGATTAGGCTTTTTAAAGGTAGATGCAACCAGCCTCCTGTAATCAAGAATCCACTCTGGGCGTTACAGTTTGAAACTCATGCTTAAATGTTTAAAAACCCATTAGTGTTACTCAAATATAAGCACTGCTGTAGCATTTGCAGTTGTTGAACAGATACTGAACCCTCAACCTGCTCGTCTACTCCTACATTGTTATTGTGGCGGCTATTGCTGTAACAAAAGCAAAGGATTATACTGTCTGAATTTACAAACATGTGATCTGGTTACTTCTAAATTACAGTTTGGACAGAAAAGTGAGATTTAAAATGAAGTTATTTCAGCATGAACAGGGTCTAAGATAAAGTCATTTGAGGTTTTTGGGGTTTTCTTTTAGAAACGGGCCCATTCACTTCTTCAATAGGCTTCTATCTGGACAAAAGGTTGCAACAAGTGTTCTCTTGACTCCACAGTAGGACCAGAGTCAATAGGTATGGGAATAACAGACAGAAAGTAGAGCCATGTGATTGTACTGTAGTAACAAAGGATATGCACAGGATATCACATTCCACAGTTTGCATTCACCTTAACAAAAGGCCAAATGTGGAACATTCACCGCGCTGTTCTGTCGCTTCGTGTCCGTGTGTTGACTGTGTTAGTAGACAAGTGTTAGTAGATCATAGTCAAAACTCAAATACCTTCCCTCGTCCAGACCGATGAAACTTCCTGCCCTGCTTGTAATTCAGTCTTGTAAAACAACTTGTTAGTAGTATAACGAGAATTCCTTGCTAAATTATATTATTTTTCCATCTTAATCAACACATTTAACACCATATAATAGTGAGAGTCAGTTAAATTGTGCAGATCATTGTTTGTCAAAATAAAAAAGTTCACTGTTACTGGAATTTGTATATATCCTAATCGGTGCAGTTCTATGATTATAAGTAATACATTATGGATTTGGCAATGTGGATAAAATCCTCCATCACAGCATATGTCATTTTTTAAATTTTTTATAGACACATTAAAGTACTTAATCACATTCATCATAGAAGTCATTTAAAAATCCAATAGTTCAATTAGTCTTTTCTGCTTATTGATTCACACAAATTCCACAGTAGCACAATACATCTGTTTTAAAGAAGAAATACTGTGCCACATGAAGTGGAGAAATCTTGGAGGATTGACATTTCTCTCTCTTACAGTAAACTGTATATTGGGATATTGCCTTCCCCCACATTTTTGGTTAACTGTGGTGTCTTTTTGTTACAGTGTCACGCTGCGCCCGTGGTCTCCAGATGAGAAGAGTCACAGGCTGTCCAGACCGCTGTCACAGGTTGGTTTCTACTGTTTACTTTTTAAAACCTTTATTTATTCCTGTGTATCTGCTGCCTTTTGCAAGTGTTCAGCTTTCTGAGATATGCAGTCCAGATTTGTTTGGTCAATAGCTGTCAGTCGAGATGATTTCCAATCTGACAAATGCATGAAAATGTTTTTATAAATGGTACTTTTCCTCCAATGCCAATCTGTCATTTATCTGTAGCTGCAGTTTTTAGGCTGCAGTTCATTTAGTCCATACAGCTAAAGGTCATTGTGCTCTTATCTCTAGATCTGTGTTTTTAGTTTGACTTCACTGTCGCAGTGTGCAGGAATAACATGTTTGAATTTTTAGCCTTTCCTTTGAATTGTTACTCTCTGATGCCACAACAGATGCCCTACAGAGGGTTTGTTTGTGGACTCCCTGATACTACTCGTAGACTTCACAGTAAAGGCAGGAAGCAGGGAGGGACTGACATTTTTACAGCAGGGAGTGTATGAACTGCAAAGGTTATTCTTTGAAAATATCTGACATTAAGCTCAACAGTGCAGGGCTTTTTTATTCAGAGCCGGCTCAAAGGAAATATGACTTTGTTCCAAAACAATGGTCTTTAACCTTTTAGTTGTCTGAATGGAGACTCATTCATATCAGTGAACGGTACAAAATGTGGAAGTGGTCAAATACTGACTCAGGGTTATCATCAGGCTGCAGCTAAACTATGCAGTGCTTTTTTTACAATTGCAGCCAAGAAAGGCAACTGGAAAGACTTCAGTGAGTTAAAGAGAAGAAGATGTTGTGGGAAAGTTCATCATGAGCTATTTCAGCTATGCTTCCATGCTTAGCCTCAAGCATGGATCCCACTGATAGAACATGTGAGATGACAGAGCAGGAACAACACATACATGACCTTTCACAATGACACAAGGAATTCCAGCCATTTTTATAACACTGGACTTTGCATAGAGTTGGATAAATATGCAGAGGTTTGAACTTAAAAACATTTGAACGTTTCTTCTAAGAGGCCGATGGCTGAGAAGGTCCATTTTAAGATTTCCCTGGGGTTCTTTGTGGTGTTTACATGGTAAATAGGATCAAATGCATGTGTCACTCACAGCGGCGTCCATCCTTTCAGAGCGGTGGCTTGCATCAGAGTGCTTTAAATCTCCTTCACACTGGAAGAAAGATGAACCAGTCTAGCCGTGATGTAACTGGGGTCCAAGTGGTGCTTTGGAGGATGCCGCAATTACTTTGTCAAAACACTTTCAACCACCCGTTATCAAAATATAATGCTTCTGTCAGTCATGAACTCTGCTCCCTGCAAAATATAGTCTTTAGGAATGCAAGACGGTCTCTCCTAATAACTAATTTGATGTGACTGCAAAGCCACACGGCATGTTGTCTCCTTCGCAGTTGTTTTAGGGCAGAGAGGGGGTGCAGGATGTCTGTGTGTGCAGACATGAATCAGCTCTCTGACTGGCTCGCTGTTTGGGCACATTCGACTGACACGAGTATGATATGTGATGATGATGATATATATATGATATATGATAGGACGACTGAAGCCTCGGGCAGTCTGTAGGCTGGACTGGAGATGATAAAGTTGTCTGGTGTCAAGTCCTAACACCTTTTCTGTTCCATGGATCGCTCCTGATTGAAAAGTAATTATTTTAAATAAATCATTTCAAATCCATATTATGAGGTCTGGTGTTTTTAAAGGAGAACTAGAGCAGTATACTGCAGTACTACTCCGCCTGTGAAAACAGTGGTATATTATTTTCTGTGGCTATTTTATAGAGCTTCTCAAAGTCTTATAATGATGTCATCAGGGTTATTTTGAATTGGGCTTAAGCCTTCAAATTTAACAGGAAGTTTATGTTATAAACTTGGGGATTTAGTGTAATGAACATGAGCATGTACCATGCATAGGGTTTAACCAAAGAGCTGAGTTGCATTTCTATGCATTTACAGCTTAAACCATACCATGGGTCTACAATTCAGGACATCTTGGCCTCTGCAGCTTTAGTTTTGAAGTTTAAGGAAATATATTTTCGTTTAAAAATGTCTCTTGTGAACCCCCAAAAAAAAGAAGAAGCAATGCTTAGTTCCTAAAGCACTCGGCTATAAAGTATTTTAAAAGTCTTGGTTCAAGCTACAATAGCTCTTGTCACATCCTGTCCTTTTGGCTTTGTGGTCTTATGATCTGAATAGTCAAAGTACTAATAAATGGTAAATGGACTGCACTTATATAGCGCTTTATCCAGTCTTTAAGACCCCTCAAAGCGCTTTACATGTCATTCAGGGAGGCTGTGGCTCAGTGGGTGTGCGCTGAACTTCGAATCAGGGGGTAGCAAGTTTGAGTCCCACTGCAGTCAGCATGTCGTTGTGTCCCTGGGCAAGACACTTCACCCCAAATTGCTCCTGTGGGGATTGACCACGGTACTGAATGTATGTAAGTCGCTTTGGATAAAAGCGTCTAACAAGTGTAATGAAATTCACCCATTCATACAGAGCAGTGTACCTCACTCTAGGACCTAACATTCACACACATTCACACACCGTTGGCCATGCCATCGGGAGCAACTCAGGGTTAAGTATCTTGCCCAAGGATACATCGACATGTTGACTGCATGGGCTGGGATCAAACCCACAACCTTCTGGTTGAAAGACGACCGCAGCCACAGTCGCCCTAATACTCAATTAGGTTTACTTACTTAGTTTAATCATTGTATTATTGCTCACTGAAGGCATTATAAGTCTTGGTTGAATACAGCTGCTGATGTTTTTCAGCATCAATCCCAAAACCACATTATAAAAGTTATTGTGGAGTCATAGTGAGGCTGCGGCCAGCCAACCATGGTGGAGGAAACTCTGGTATAAAACGCATTAAGATCTGTGTTGTGGTTCAGGGCTTTTTCGGCGAGTCCGTAGGAATACAATTGTTCTATCCGGAAACACATTGCATGTTTGTGGTATATATGTAGTTGCCAGTTCTCCCAATATCTTCAACATTTTTAAATTCAGCTCTTTCTCTCTTTTTCCAAAGTTGGAATGCGTATCCTCTCGTTCCCTTTGGGAGACATCACATTCCTCCTATCTCCCTCTAATCCAATATCAACTTGACCTTTTTTTGCATTACTAACTTTATTTTGATTATGCTTAAAATAATACCAAGCTACGTGTTTTGGTAGTCTGCTATTTGAATTAATATCAGGCTACATGTTTAAAGAAAACAGAATTTTGAAACGTTTAATTGCTTGCTCTGCCCTCTATGCCTGACAGCCTCAGTGTTTACCATCATCCAGCCCAGTGGATGAGAGTTTGGGGTTTTGGCTGACCCCTTCCTCCAAGGGATGTCTACCCTGGTTTTAAAGTGGTGACGAGCCTCCCTCCGCAGCGCTGTGATTAGTGAGTGGAGTTCTTTCAGAGCGCTCTGTGGGGAAATGGCTGGGAAGAGGCCTGCCACGGGCACACTGTGCATTATGCTGCTCCGCCTGGCAGGAACACAGCAGCCCAGTTAGCGCTAAGATGCGGAGCGTCCATAACAAGGCCCTCTGTCCGTCCTAAGAGGTGCAGAGTGCTGCTGTATCAGGTGATCAGCCTCCATGAAAAGCTCCTAAAAGGCTTTTCCACCCTTGTTTTGGCTCCCTGAGTGTGGAGAGTGGGATGCGCAATGGGATCCCCCATTTTCCAGGGTGTTGGATATCCTGAGAAAAAGCATGTATACAATAGTGGCTGTGATGGCAGAGGTTGTGGAAGGCTGGTGCTGCTTTTTCCCTCACGTCACAAGGCCTGTCGTTGTGTGATGGGTTGTAGAAGAGACATGCCTCAGGGTGGAGAGGACACCAGGGAGCCAGCTTACATTCCCAAACTGTACTTAAACCGTCTTAACATGCTGCATCAGCCCATCATTTCTGTTGTGCCTCATCATGAAGTCCAAACTGCCTGAAGCACCATACAGAACACGTCTGATAATATGCAAACATTATAATTGCATGTTTTTAAACTGGTCAGGGCACTTAATAACTTTCAAATACAAAAGCACTTAACCTGATTTAACCTTTTCACACATTGTTTTATTATTTTACATGGAGCAGTAGTGTCTATTGGGTTCATTCATTTTTACTGTTAAACAATTTCCCCTCTGAAAAAAACCCTTTATTGACCTTCAAATGTTCCATTACATAAACGTTTGGGCACATCAACGACTAACTTTAAGGAAATGTACAGTACATTTTGATCTAGAAAACTTAGGGTAGTGCATTACATAAGGAGAGTGACCTTTGCTGTTGGTTCAAGTCTTGGTTGCAGGAAGCATTCATCCAGCTAAAGTGAAGCAGCAGGCCCCACCTACCAGTCTACCATGACCTCTGTCCCCCAATTTACCAGCTTAATGGGACCACTGACCCCCAGAAGAGGAAAGATGAATCCAAAGAAAACTGTTATTTTAAATATATTGCTGTGTGTGTGTGTGTGTGTGTGTTGGAAACCCATGAGAGTAAAGCCATTTCCCTTTATGGTCCCAAAGTGTCACTGATGCACGTTATTAGCCGTAGCTTTGTATCATGTCGTTTTCTTTAGTCATGCCATGATGTAACTGACTTTGTTCAGAGACTTTTATATCAACCCGATCAACACCATGACTAAAGGGGCAAAGGCATCCTAGATTCCTGAGCGCCAGCATGAGATTGTATCTTAAATGGCCGGCACCCGTCATGATTCAGAGCATCTGTTTATATCATCAAGAAATGACCACAACGGGATCTCTGTTACGGTGAATCGGGCCAAAACCAAACTGCTTTTCATGAGACACGACCCGTCACTGGGCCATTAGGACCGGGCTCCATGTCTGGGTTTTCAGTTGCTGCACTTTGAGGTTCCTGAGGGCTGCCTTAGTGGGCTTCCTGATCCTGAGCTGGGATAGGGTGGTTGCTTTTTATATATATATATATATATATCCGTCCTAGTGTAGGATGGCCAGATCCTGCTGGGTGACACCCGTGCAGACCAATCTTTTCCTC